AAGTTGCTTGAAGACATTTCACCTCTCATCCGAGAAGCTTCTTCAGTTCTAAGGTCAAATGGCCGAGAGTCCCAGATTTAAACCTCCTTTCACACCTTAGCTCAGGCGATTAGAGGATCATCAGGGGGTCCTTTTGTCCCTCTGTGGGGGGAAACTCCCACTAGGTTTAAATCTGGGACTCTCCACCATTTGACCTTAGAACTGAAGAAGCTTCTCGGATGAGAGGTGAAATGTCTTCAAGCAACTTGAAGTCCAGACGCTTTTCTTTGCAAGCTCCTTTGACTACGATGACCTGGATGACTGAGAACCTTCACAGACAAGCACAAAAATGCTAAAAATATAAATATGAAAAAAGGATCAACGATCCTGTGAGCAGAGATACTACAAACACTAAGTGTATGATGTTTACATCATAGTGCGGCACTCAATCGTGATATGTATGAAGTTATTAACATCTCAAATGAGTTTTACAGTATGACTTGTTAATATAAACCAGTACTTCATGTCACCATATTGAATGTATTTCTGAATGGAGAGGATTGTTTGAGAAGTTTCCTTTAAAGTCTTCTAAGTCAAATAATGTTTGTTAAAAATAACACGCGTGCCTACCTTTTTCTTTTCAGTCAAACAGCAGTTTCAGCACCACAGGCTGCCGTGGTGGAGCAATGGGATCAAAACCATCAACTGCGACTGATCTAAAGGTACGTGTGCTTGTTCAGCTTCTGTAAATGAAATGTCATCCTCATCCATCAGAGCTTATTACTGACTGACTGCTGCTGTGACACATGCACGCACACACCCTTACAGAGACACACTGGTATGTGGTAAGCATTTTTAAAAGGCAGAACATGCATGCACACATATGCGTGCACGCACAGTCTCTGTAACTTGTGTCAGTGTCACTAAACCAGTTTGTCTGCATTGTTCTGTCATAGTCACACACTATGACAAAACCAAAACACGCCTGCACGCACAACAAAAGGCTCTGCCATCTCTCTATACACACATGCACAGTGAGAACAAACAGGAAAAATTTAAGACACACACACACATATATGTGCAAATGCTAGTGCACAAAATTAAGGCATCAGAACACGTAGCCGGTGTACTAAATTTACAGTGATGTGAAACTTCTTGTTCAGTCTTCAATTTAAAAGGAAAGAAAAATCAAGCCTCAAATTAAAAATCTGACCACCGTTTAATATCATTTCATTTTATTTAGTATGTTAGTCTGACATATATATTTGAATCATACCTGCTGGTTGACTCTCTGGTGCTGTGTACGTATCAGATTCTGGATGCTTCTTGTATCCAAAGCATGTAGTTTTGTCCTTAGTCTCATATAAGCTACGAAACAAATACAAATCCTCCGTTTTCATGGTTTCCTGAAGTATGGAGAGAAATCCACACACAGACACATTTCCATTGAAGACATCAGTGAAGGTAGGATCTGTGTTTCAGTTCTCTCACTTGTGACTTTTCTCCAGTCTTTCTCTCTCGGTCTCTCTGCCTCAGGTTAGCCACACCCACCACCGACACTTTTTCTTTCTCAGCTTTATCACCTGCACACAGTCCGCAGTCAGTGTTGTATTTGTTTTTGAGTGTCACTGCTCATGTTTTCTCTCTGTGTATGTGTGTATGTGTTAGCTGGGTGGATTTATTAGCTGAAAAACTTGGAGTTTTCCAGTGGGTGGAAATGCATAATAACTTTTATTCCATCAGCTGCAGAAAAACTGGACTACATAGCAAACAGTCTGTTTAATTGCAGACTTGGCCTGCAGTTAAATGTAGTAGTTGTTGAATATACACAGACAGTGAAAGCTCAAACAGTGCACCTGTCCAACTATCGTAGCTGAATAAATAATGATTCCTTAGTATACTGCAGTACTGAGATCACACCTTTCCACTCTGTTTGGAAAGGTGTGATCAAGTGTGGTTAGTTTGCACTTGTTAAAGCAGCTGTGTCTGTCCCATATGATGTGTGGTCCAAGCACAAAACACAGCAGAGCTTTCTCACCAGTGCTTCTGCGGGACTAATGCAAAGATGCACACTGGGGAGTTAATTTAACCCTTCCAACACAAATCCTGGTTTAGCAGCTGTAATTAGTGTGTATAGGTGGACTATTCTGGTATTAATTAGTGACATTTCCTCTTTGTTTTTCTTTAGGCCTACACTTCAGATGAAACAAAAAGTTGAGCAAAGTAAACCACATGCAGATCCATTTTGAAGAGGCCTGAACTCTCAGTAGGAACAAACATATCCAAGGCACACTCGAATATTTGTAGCTTTTGTGTGAAAGCCTGTGTGAAGTGTCATTGTAGTGGCCTTGCTATTGAAGGCCACAGGTTTAATCCTTCTTGATTTTCCACTTTTACCTTCCTTTAGGAGCACGGTGAAACTGCCGTGGCTGTTTTGGTTTCAACCATCATGGAAATCTCTCCTGGTGCTCTCACTGCACTGCTGTCTCTGGTTTCAACCTGCACAAGTTCATCAGGGCAACACAGAGGTAACCAGCACTACATATTGTGTGCCACACCTCAGCGTATGTTGTTGCTGTTTAGGCTTTTTATGTTTAAGACACAAGCAAAGATTTTATGTTTTGCTTGAGTTGTTTAAAGCTTTCTGATTGTGTTGTTCTGTGTGTTTCTTTTAGCTGCTTCTGTTCTGAGAAAGAACTTTTGATATTGTTTACATTTCTGAGGTTTTGCTTAATCGTGATTATTGTTCTGTTAGGCAGCCCATCTGTTGCTTCAGTCACTATTTCTTTGTTTTCCACCTGTAGTATGCATTGGAATTCTGCAAATGTGTGTTTGAAAGCAGATTACTTCACTGTCTGAAGCTTGATTTGTACCACAGCATTAAATATTACACCCCACATGCTGTAACCTCTGCTGTAGCCTGACATACACGCTCCAAGAAAAGCAGCTACATGTACACAAAACAGATTATTATGTACACCTGATTATTACAAGGGTAATGCCCCTGCATCCATTTTCTTAATTGCTTATCCAAGTTAGGGTCCCGGGAGGCCTGGAGTTCTTGTTGTCATAGAGCTGGACAGGTTGGCAGTGCGTCACAGGGATCATGCAGAGAGAAATTATAGCAGCAATGGCTAATATTTTTAAAAATGTAGACATACACTCATCTGCACTTTTAGGTGCACCTTGCTAGTACTGCATTAGACCCCCATTTACCTTCAGAACTGCATCAGTTTTTCACAGCATAGATCATGTGAATCTCCGATGTGTTTTCCAGTCTCCTATTGTCCAGTTTTGGTGAGCCTATATGAATTGTATGAGTTTCCTGTTCTTAGCTGACAGGAATGGTACCGTGTGGTCTGCAGCTGTAGCTGTGCTCCCTGGTTAAATACCTGCTTACCTTTGTTGTAACAAATGGTTATTTGAGCTCCTGTTGCTCTCCTGTAAAGTTGAACCAGTCTGGGCATGTTTTCTGACATCAGCAGGGTATTTTTCACCCAGAGCTGGTCATCATTTACATCACTGCCTGAATGCACCGAGTTGCTGCCATGAAACTCACAGTTTAGATATTTGCATTGACAATCAAGTTTACAGGCATGTCTAACAAACTCACTTGTCCCTCATTTTCATTCTAACAGGTCTTTGAGCCAGTTTTTTCTTTCTTTTAAAGCATTTCATTTGTAAAGAAACAAATTCCCAGTGTTTATTTCCTCATTCCAGTTTGAATAACCCAGTTTCATGTGTGACTGGAGAGCAGAGCAAACCAGTTCAGCCATTATAAGGATCTACAGCAGCTTCCTGGTGCAAAACTGGTCCCTTGTGCATACACTGATCTTTTTAGTTCAAATTTGGCTTTGTGTAATGTAAGCATCTGGACCTTTCACAGAAAATATAGCAGAAAATAAGGAAAAGCATGGTGGGAAAAAGTGCATTGTTTTTCTTCTGATGTAATGGACAGGCTGTAAAACAACCTTTTTTTGCGCCACGGACCGGTTTATGCCCGACAACATTTTCACGGACCGGCCTTTAAGGTGTCGCGGAAAAATACAACAAAATAAAACTAGTACCGGTACCGAAAAAAGAAGATTTATTCATAACACACGTGAAAAGACCCAGGAAGACCGAGTTAAAGATAAAAACGATGACAAAATAACGATGAAAACTGATAAAAACCCTGAAAACTATACATTTCACACCTGAGCCTCAACTCTCGTGGCCCGGTACCAAACGACTCACGGACCGGTCCGAGGCCCGGGGTTGGGGACCGCTGCTCTACAGGGATCAGCCATAAACCATGCTGGACTGTGGTTACTGCTGATTAACACATGAGACAATTTATCTTTCCAGATTCTTTGAGAAGTTCTCTTTTGGTCCCTTCCTGCTGAAAGGATTCATTTTGAATTTCTGTGCTTAAACAGTCTACATGTAAGGAGCTAACAGATTGAAGAGTTTTGCTTTTTTTTTTCGTCTGAGTTTTGAAAAGACACGTTGTTATTGTGCATGTTTTCACAGAATTTGCATAACAACGAAACAAATTAAACTATTTAGCATTCACCACCTGTTCTTTAGCACTGAAAACACAAAGCACTGACCTCTAACACTGATAATCAGACTTAAACTACCTAGGCAGTCAAAATTAGCAGCTAGCTAATTAGTTTTAAAAACTGCATCTTATTTAAAAAAAACAAAAACAAAACAGATCTCTTAATACTGTTGGATGGATTAGTAACATCTTAACTCAAGGTTGAATAACCAGGATTCCCCTCCAAAGAAACGCTGAGCTTCTCCCTTTTCATGACCTGGTTGACCTGCAGCTCTTTAAATATTGAGCAACAACTAGTTCAGTTAGTATATTATTCACTTGGTATTTAGTCTGTCTCATTAAATCTGAGTTCATTTTACAGATAGCTTGGAGTACTGCAGGGGTAACCCCAGCTGGAACTATTTGTGTTTGTGTGTGCGGTGTGAATCCATGCCTTTCAGTGTATGTGTGTATGTGCGTGTTTGTGTGTAAGCGCGTCCTGGCTGTGCGTCCACAGCAGTACTGGTATTGCTGAGACAGACGGTGAGCGGGTAGGTTTATTTTTGGGTCAGTGACAGTGTGTCAATGGCTGCAGATGCGTCGGAAAGGAAAGCTCTTAGATACAAGCAAACCCTGGTCAGTGTCCCTTCTCTTTCATTTCTCTTTCGCTCTCTGTCTGTCTCTGTCCTTGTGCCATGTCTACACCAGCCTTGATGTTTCATATCTAGCATGCGTCTGCAGTTTTGTTGCGGGAGTCCTGCATAACGCACCTGTATCGTCCACACTAATCTGCGTCCTTGTGAATGAACAGCATGTGACAAGGTGATGTGTAACAGCAGTATCAAACACACGGGCGTGCAAACAGGTGCTCAGATGCTGTGCAGCTCCTTCGCCCCTGTGACGCTGTCTCGCTACTTGTTTCCTACCGTCTCTGCTGGCCACCTGTTTGCTACCCTCTCTGTGCCTCGCTTCTTAAGCCCTGCTTGGTCTTTGCACATGTGGGACAGGCTTCTGTGACAAGTGTATGACTCTGCATGTCAACAGTTTCTGTGTATTAGGGGGTTTTGCGCGTGTACATGTGTGTGTCCCAGGTGGTTTTCCATACGTTTCCAAAGAGGGGAAACCTGACCATGCATTTGCAGCATTCATGTAGCTGCTCGTGTCTTTTGGGACAAAGCAGTGTGAAGAGCCTCTCTCAACATCTGGCGGGTTTTCATTACAGCTTTCAGAGGTTCTGTTACACAACTCTGAATCTTCTTTTTCTTGTTGTTGAGTTGTTTAGGAGACCAGAGAACTGGAAACATTTTTGTTTGTTGTTTTGTTGTTGGTGTTTTTCTTTTCTTAATATCTGATTGTTCACTGTTAGCTTGTAATTTCTATTGAATAAATGTTTTTTTACATCTACAATAATAAGCAAAAGTTTAGTTTTTTGAGGTGGATCAGTGACACTCTATATTTTTATTGTGTGACTTTAGTAGAGTGGCTGTCATTGATTCATGTCATAGGTCTTGGCCTTGCTGTAGCTCATCAGTTCATCCCCTGTCTGAACCAAGCTGTTCGAGCTCCCTTCCCTCTCTTTCTTATGAATAGCTTCCTCGTGCAAAACTGGTCCCTTGTGCATACACTGATCTTTTTAGTTCAAATTTGGCTTTGTGTAATGTAAGCATCTGGATCTTTCACAGAAAATATGGCAGAAAATAAGGAAAAGCATGGTGGGGAAAAGTGCATTGTTTTTCTTCTGATGTAACGGACAGGATGTAAAACAACCTTTTTTGCGCCACGGACCGGTTTATGTCCGACAACATTTTCACAGACCGGCCTTTAAGATATCGCGGATAAATACAACAAAATAAAGATAGTACCGCTACAAAAAAAAGAAAAAGATTTATTCATAACACATAGGAAAAGACACAGGAAAACCGAGTTAACGATAAAAATGATAACAGAATGATGATAAAAACCCTGAAAACCATAAATTTCAGCCTCAAGGCCCATCCATGGCCCCGGACCATGGACAGCTACTGTAAAAGATAGTTATGGTTTAATTGAAACATTTATTCTAAATGATTTCTGATTTTTAATGAAATTGAATAATATAATGATAAGAAAAGTTAGAAACCCTGGTACACAACTGGGAAACAGAAATCTCCCATGCTGTTACTGACACATACATGCCACATTATACTGGTTTGTGAAGCGAGTGGTACACATGAGTGTATTTCAGTGTGTTAAGAAGAGAAATGTTAAACTCTTTTTGGCTTTAGTTGCCAGGATAACAGTTTTAACAGTCTTTTAAACATCATAAATGTTCATTAGGTAACAAACAGTGGAACATAAGAGTGATGACTGCTGACAATATGCCTTTGTACACGTATCTGTATACTGAAAATTGTTATTATGAATCCATGAATTCAATTTCATGCTGTATTAGATGGAAATGAACATTCTTTGCTTTCATAAATAATGACTCCTTTAAGTGACATCACAAGTTTTAGAGGTAGCTTGTTTTTTTTACTTTACACTGCTGAATATTTAAAGCCTATCAAATTAGGATTGAAATCCCCACACTCTCAGACCTTTCTGAATGTCTATTTTATTTATACTTTCTGTATTTTTGCTTTGTGTACTTGTAAGATACTCGTCCGTGAAGCTGCCTTTGATTGCAGTGCTGTCTTTTTAATCTCCTGAGTTATTTTCCTGCTTAAATCATGGTTAGTTAAAAGCAAATAAAAATATATATATTAAAAAAATCACTCTGACAGACTAAGCCATACAGCAGCCCTCCTCAGTGGTGTTGAGAGGCTGGAATGTGAAGGCTGGTGATCAGAGTGACCTATAGAATTTAATGGCTGTTGAAATCGTACGCCTACGAGTACCTGAGAGAGTGCAAAGTTATCTAATCTGTCGTGTGTGTGTGTTTGTGCTTTTGGATGCTATGCAGGCTGTGGTAACATCTTTCCCATTTCTTATGTGTCCTTTTTTAAATTTGATAATAAAAAAACTGACAGCGATTTCTTACAATCAGGACACGTGGCCGGAGAGGAGAGCTGGCAGTCATGCAGAGAATGCGTGGAGTTAAACCGGCCTCTATTTTAGAAACGCTTCATATGCGTCGGCTTTGACTGCACATGACGACATATAGTGGCTTAACTCACATTGTTATATAAATCCCTCTCTGTACAGAGCGATACCTGCTCATGATGTGACATAATTCAGTTGGGAAAAATATTAGTAAATTATCCAAAAAGAACAAAAACCTCTAATTATCTTCCAGAGCAGTGTGGTTAGAGACAGAAAATGTATCAGATTCATGGTTTCCTGATTTTTTCTTTTTTCTGTTCTGTTTATGAAATGCACAGAAAACATGAACATTTCATTGAGTTTCTTTTGCAATATTTGTATAGATAATCAGTGGTTAGCACTGTTGTGTCACAGGAAGAAGATCCTGCTCCATCTCTGCTCCTCCATCTGGCCTGGTTTTCCTGTGTGTAGTCTGCATGGGTGGGTTCTCTCTGGGTTCTCCAGCTTCCTCCCACAGTCCAATTCTAAATTGGATATAGGTGTGAATCTGAGTGTGAATGGTTGTCTATCTCTGTGTTAGCCCTACGGCAGGCTGATAACCTGCCCAGGGTGTACCACGCCTCTCGCCACGTGACAGCCCGTCCACCATATGATAGGTGGCCCAGTTCCAGTCTGTCCTGGCTGGCCCTACCAACTCCTTATTATAAGAAGTTAAGTTGCCACTGTCCAGCTGTAGGTACTTCATGCCAACAAGCACAACAACAGATCAAAAAGGCATTTGTCCCATTTAAAACATTTGCCAAGTTAAGAGGTCAGTCTGACTAAAAAACCTGGACACTGTGTGCATATATGGTGATGACCTGTCAATCACAAAGTAACCACACAGGTTTGGCATGGCATTCTCTATAAATGTTATATAATTTGAAAAAAATATAGAATTTCTTAAATGAGCCTCAAAACTAACCACCGAGCCCATGAGCTCATTAAGAAAGTGTTTACTGAGGTCATAAATCAGTGCAGAAGTAGTGTTGTTTCTCTATTGATTGTTATGAAAACGGACGTCTTTTCTTAATAAGAGTCGCTCCCTGTTGGCTGTTTGAAATATTGCATTTTTTTGGCAATTGTCCCACTTTTCAGACCCAGAGGTACGTCTGTCTTTGATATACTGAGTGTTTTGGAGCAGTTTTAATCCCTTCATACTTCCTTTCGATGTATTCCCAAAGCGAACAGGACCCAGTTAGAAGAACACAGAATAAATGAATGTGAGACATGGGAAAAACCGTGGAATACGATGAGGCATTGAAATGTACGATGGTAGGAGAGAGGTGTGGGAAATGTAATGAGGAATATTGGATCACACTGGTCCTAAATTTAGCCCAGAGTAGTGTTTCAGCGGCAAAGAGAGAGAGAGTGGTGAAGAAAGGAATAAGAGTAGGGTGCAGTGAAGGAAGGGGGCACAAGTGATTAGTGCAGAGTAGAGTTTCAGTGGTCAAGAGGAAAACAGGAAAGAGGTAAAGGGGACAGTGTCAGATTTCTGACAACATACAGTACTGCGCACAAGTCTTGAACCACACCTCATGTCTTTGATTCTTGCTTCCAAGCAGCTAGACGTTCGTGGAATTTTTAAAAGTAAGTAAAGAGCAGTAATTCTCCGGGATTTCTTAAGGTCTTTCAAACGTTGTCTTTGGACGTTGGCTGCTTTTTCATTAGTCCTTTTACTTTTCTTACTCCAGGTAATCGCTTAACACTGGCCTATTTAAGCACTTAAGGGATGAATGAATGTTGTGTCAACACATAACAGACAACTTAGCAAAGAAACAATTTTAGTTGGTCAGTTGAGCCAAAGCCTCATAAATCATCTCAGGCTCTCAAGAAGGAAAGAGAAGAAGGAAAGTAAGAGGAAAGGCTAAGGATGCCAAGTTATAAATAAAGAACATTTTAAGGCCTTCATTTCTATTGATTGCATACTGCCAAGTGTGAATCTACTGCCACAAGGTGTCAGCAGCAGCAACATTGTAGCAGCAGTGACACAGCAGAAGTCAAATCTGGTACAAGTAGAATTTTCCCTGAAAATTGGATGTAAAAGTAACTGCTTAACACTGTTTTTTAAAAACAATAACTTCTTCCTTGGATAACGTTTTTTAACCACTTGCTGAAAGCTTTCGTTTTCTGCATGTAATTGCATCAGTAGAGCACCAGTCCATCCATCGTTTCTCTTCCTCTTCCTGTCACATGGCATGCAGCAAGCCAGTCCTCGACTGAGTCATTTGTTTACTTTTGGTTGCATATGACCAGTTCTCACCCTCATATTCTCATGCACGTCTTAGCCTGTTTGTTGTTTCCGTGTTTAACTTGAGTGCTTTTATTGCATATTTTACATATTTTTGTTCTTCGCTGGAGGTTGTTGAAGCAGCTCACTTCCTCGGTGCTAAATTGTAATTGAAGGCAGACATGCTGCTCTCATCCTCAGTGACTGGGTTTGTCTTGTTGTTGTGCTCAGGATTGTCAGTGTGTGGCATCACTGCATCACTAATACTCAGATATGACACTTTTTTGCCTGAGACAGTTCAGGCTGTGTTGAAGGATAAAGGCAGTCATACCAACTATTGGCTTTCATGCTCGTTGGAATTCTACAACCTCCGTTTTCGCCGTGTATACTCTTTTTACTCTTTTTCCAACTTTATTTGCCTCTTATCCATTTTCCTAGCAAAATACAAGAAATGAAGTGTGACTCAAAAACTTTGCACATCATTAGTATGTGTGAGATTTGAATCTCTTAAATTCAGAATGTTTTTAATGTTTGTCATCCTAATAACCAATTTGTCCACATTTTTTCTGTTATAGTATTGATTCAACAATTTTAATTCAGGATTCCTTCGCACCATCTGTTTGCATGTTATGGAAATTATGAGAAACTCCTTGTGTAGAATGCACAAAGCATCTTTTTGTAATGTGCTTTTGTATTTTAAAAGCTTGTTTCACCCAATTTAACTGCTGCTTAGATTAAAAGAGTGCTGCACGTGTGATCCTTTTAACTTTTATCACATGAGCTTTGAGTCAAGTCGTCCGTGCCTTGCTCTGTTGTTTGAGCCTGTGCTCTGTTGTTTGAGCCTGTGCTGTGTGCAGGCATTCAGTTGTAGTACTTTGTGTGTTATGCTGCTCAGGTTTCACCATGCATTGACTGCCATCTATGCACACAAACACACACAGACACACAGCATGTCCAGCGCCTTATGTGCACGTGTGTCTGTGTATCTAAATCCATCCATCCATCAGTCAGCCTGTCCGTGAACCTGCTAAATCAGAAGGCGTTGAAAGGATCACACGTGGACGTGATATAAGCGACAACTTACCAGCTTGTCACTTATATTCCTGGGTTGCTATTGTCTGCTGTTCATGTACCAAAGCACATATGAGGCTCGGTCCTGTATTTGTGGGGCAGTGCTGGAGTTTTTTATGGTTCAAGTGTAAATGGGTAAATGAGCTGGAATCTCTGTATCTACTCTGCCTTTTGTATCTATGGAGTGACAATGAAATTTAAAGAATACACAACCTCTGTGACTGTGGTGACGACTAGGCCTGATCCACCTGTCAGGGAGGTTTGTACACATTTGCATCACATTTGCACCGTAACGGAGTGAAACCATGGCAAAGGTTTCACACTCAGATTACATTAAGTGAAGTCAAACTTTACATTCAACTACTAGTTTTAGTAAATTGTTACATTGTGATTTAATACTATATAAAAAAAACTAGTAAAAATACTCTTTATTTGCAGCTGCATGATGTAAATATATGACATCAGAGAATATGATGAGCGTATTGACTGTGCACCAAAGCATTTTTGTCAGTATGCAGTTACACTAAGGTGGCTACACTATGTGTAGTTGAGTTTATGCGACTCTGTTTGTTGCAATTACAGTTTAGTATTTTTGCTTTCCTTGCAGCTGCATTGCTTCTGTGTTTTAACTACAAAAAATCTTTTCTTTACTTTGTCTGTCCTTTCATTGAAGTGAGATTCCCACAGAGAGCGAATGCACCTTCCCTCTGTTTGGTTTTGCAGCAGATGACATTTTACAATAGTTAGCGATTGAAAACAGAGGCGGAGTTCTCAGTACAGCACTCCAAACTAGTCCTAAACAGTTCGGCTATGTGAGAAAGAATAAATTGAGAATTGTGATAGCAGCTTTTGCAGCGTTCAAACTCATCCTGTGTACATTGAAAATGTAGTTTAGATACAGATATAATATTTGTTGGTAGCACTTGAGACAGGACGGACTTTGAACACATGTAAAAGAATTTCACACATGTGCAAATCAAAATATTTGAATATAAACACATTTTACTTCTAGTGGGTTATTTTTTTTATGCTTAATCAAATGATGAGCTGCTAGTCTGTCCCCCATTGATCTTCGTTTGTCTGCAATATTGTGTAATTTCCCAGCAGAAGAACCATAATCTAGCTCATTTAAAACAACATATTTATATATAAAGTATGCTTGGGCAATTCAATAACATTTTCACCATCAATTCAGCAGCTCTCTTTTTCAAACACGTGTGTGTGTGTGTGTGTGTGTGTGTGTGTGTGTGTGTGTGTGTGTGTGTGTGTGTGTGTGTGTGTGTGTGTGTGGTGCAGAATCTCTGTCAGTATCTTTATACAACCCTGCACAGGATGTACTTGGCCAATCACAAGCAGTATATTTATCCAGACTTATGAACCAAATGTATAGGCTGGTATAGGAGTGACAAGCCAGACTGAGTAGTTAGAAGAACGTTCCTCACACTTTGATTTAACTCATCAATCTCACAAGAGCAGAGGTGTCCTAGTTTCCCCAGCATTTAAGTGCACCGTGCATTAATGAATCTGTGTGGAGCTGAACTGTGTACACATTTAATAACCTGAAATGAAGAAAATGATCACAAATATTTTTAGGCATTAATGACATTAATTAAATCTGAGTTTGTGTCCATAGATCAGGCATTACATTATATTTGCCACCACTTTGAGTCCCGTCGGGTCTTTATTGAAGTGAAACCCAGACACTTGTAAATGCGACAGAGGAGAATTAATCTCTTCCCCAGATGTCGCGGACAGTTTTCATGGAGTCTGTCCAGCGGTGATAAATCTAGAGGCAGAGTCCATGTTTCCGTTTCCATTAGAGCCGTTTGGCTCAACACGTGGTCCTGTCTAATTTTAAAGTGAACCCTTCTTTGCCAGGCTGCCAAAAGGAAAACACTCCTCATTCTCACTGTCTCAGGAACTACCTGTGCATGTTCATGTCTGATGGAGTCATGAAAAGACAAAAAATTGTTAACTGATCATTTGGCAGCTCTATGGGGAGTACCAAGAAAACCAAGGAGGCTCCGGCAGACGGGAGGCCACACGCCTGCTGACTGAGAGGCAGATCAAGAAACATGGGACCCACCACCGCAGCCACGCCAGGACACGGCACGGACACGGGCGCCGTGGCCAAAACGGATACCACAGCCGCCATCAATACAGCTACTACAGCAGGCAACGGAACAGGCGTCAGTCCAATATGGAGACCGATGCTGCTGAGGAGCAAACAGCTGAGCCCGACCTCGCGTCCTCTGTGAAGAAGAAGCGCTCCTACTCCAAGTGTAGAGGTGAGATGAGGCAAAAGTGAAGACAGAAAATGATGCTGTGTGAGTGCCACGTTTAGAGCTTCTGGGATGTGTTGGTTTCTGCAGACTGCATAGCACGAGTGCAGCGATTCCTTGTGACCAGGTTGGGAGAGGACTGGATCTTCCTGGTTCTCCTGGGCATCACAATGGCACTGGTCAGCTGGACAATGGACTACGCCAGTGCAAAGAGTCTACAAGGTAGGACTGTGAAGCAAAAACACGAGTCAGGTGTTTGTGCAAGAAGCACTTTTCTTTCTGTCCTCTTCTAATATCTAACCATTTCCCTTCCCCTCTCTCCTTCTATCCATGTAATTTGGTTCTTTTACTTCTTCTTTTAATTTACTTTGTTTTTGCTTTTTTCTGCCTCTACACTCGTTTTCTTTTCCTCCTTAAATTTCCTCCTGCATCAGCCTATAAGTGGATTCACGGGGAGCTGAGGGGGAACATCCCCCTGCAGTACCTGGCCTGGGTATCCTATCCCCTGATGTTTATCCTCTTCTCCTCCCTCTTCTGTCACCTGGTTTCCCCTCAAGCTATTGGTCTGTACCCCTGTCTTTCTCATGCTTCTGTGTGTTTGTCTACCGTAATGTGTAATCCATAGATTTAAAAGTGCATTTCAAATTTAGTCAGCACTCTTAAATACTGGGACAGGATCAGATATTTAGGTTCTTATTGGTTATGAAATTAAGAAAAAAATAGGGAACTGAAGCTGAGGGAGAACATCTCCAACTCATTTTCTCTGCAGCCATTAAACAACTGATCAACAAAATAGTTTTTCATTCATTTAAACTATGCAATTTTCTACACTTTCAGCCCTTTATGATACTTGTTTACCAACAGCAGCTTTACAGAGGAAAGGTTTTGCATTGCTATTGTTTTCTGTCTGTTTTCGTTCTCACGGTGTCACACAGTACTGCTGTTTTGTTGTCTCACAGATAGACACAAGGTTGTCCTTTGGTTTGGTGCCTTGGGACATATGGACGTTTGTAAAAGACCTCTCACATTTGTGTGCAGTCAATATTGTGCTTCATATGGTTAATACTGTGGATTTGATTTGATGTCTAAACCTAAACAGCAGGCACAATGAAGAAAAAGAACGAATCCACCAAGTGAAACAAAGCACAACAAACACACAACATAAATGAACCACAGTCTCCTGGCTGGCAAACCTTTGACGCTTTCTCCAACCTGCAAATGTGGAATTATTTTGTAACTTTTTCCTTCAAGCATCACTAACTAATTGCAAAGGAAAACTTGTAATTATTTCTGCAAGCAGCATTTGACATAAAATGCCACTTGCAGAAATGTTTGATGCCCTGAATGAAAATGAATTGAGAATTTGCAACAAATTATTCAGAAAACAGCAGCACCAAAGCCATCTGAGACAAGTGTAAGGTTAGGAAAGTGTGTCGAGTCATAAAAGGTTCAGAACAGTTATTATTATTTTGTTATATAACCCTTCTGTTCTAGGTTCTGGTATACCAGAGTTGAAGACCATCCTGAGAGGTGTGGTACTAAAGGAGTATTTGACTCTGAAGGCGTTCATCGCCAAAGTCATTGGTCTGACGGCTGCTCTGGGCAGCGGCATGCCTGTAGGCAAAGAGGTGGGTCAGCCCAGATAAATGAAAAAGCTTCTCGTGGGCTGTTTCATTTAATCGAACCATTGCATTGTTGTATTTGATTAACCTTTTTCTTTTTATGCTCCATTCCTGCACTCAGGGCCCGTTTGTTCACATTGCCAGCATCTGTGCAGCAGTTCTCAGCAGGTTCATGTCCTTTTTTTCAGGAGTTTATCAGGTAAGCTGATGTCAGGAAACACTCGAATTTCCCTTTGATTGAATATTCCTTATTTACATGTTGTTTCAATGCTGACTCCTCCTCCTCTCTGGATCAGTAGAATCCATACTGTTACACAGACATCCTGACGGTCGGTTGTGCTGTCGGGGTGGGCTGCTGCTTCGGTACTCCGCTTGGAGGTACACATCCTTTTCCCTGTGCTCCTCTGCTCTCTTTGTCTGACTCATATCCCTCAGGAGTGCATGTAAGACAGTCAGACCTCTGCTTTGGGTATTTTCATCACAGTCTGGTGCACACAGGAAACCGAAATTCAGAGTCAAAAACGGAAAATATCTGAATTATGTTCATCTACAGTCAGTTTTCCATATTGCAGAGGTTTTAAATGTAGATTGGTGTGATGATGGAAGTACACATCTGATACATGACTAATTCTCTGCTCTTTTTTTCTTCCTCCACCAGGTGTGCTCTTCAGCATAGAGGTAACATCTACATACTTTGCTGTAAGAAACTACTGGAGAGGATACTTTGCTGCTACATTTAGTGCCTTCATATTCAGAGTGTTATCCGTGTTTAATAAAGATGCAGGTATGTGTGCAAATATATATATATACTACTTTCCAAGACATGAGCTAGAGGGAGCCCTCTCTCCACGAAGCAAAGTGTCATGTCTTTATATGGACACTGACAATATGTGTGTACTGTAGTTACATCACTCTCCCTCCACTAGATGGCGATCTCCTCCTTCATGTAGCAGCAGAGTGTTTCAGTGCCTCGCTCGCGTCTCCGTGGATGTTTAACCAATCATTTTGCTGTACAAACACATTCCTGTGACTTTGCAGTACACCACATATTAGTTTTGTGTTTGTATGTCACAGTAAATGTGTTATCTGCTATTAGTCTAAGTACTAAAATAACCACAAGCTCCAGTTCATTATTTAAATGAATTGAAATGAAAGCCGAGGGTATAAATTTGGGCACTTTTTCTTTTTCTTCCAGTAACCATCACGGCTCTGTTCAGGACAAACTTTCGTATGGATTTCCCTTTTGATCTGCAGGAGCTGCCAGCATTTGCCATCATTGGGTGAGCAAAAAGAAAGCAAACACACACACCCCCCGGCAACCTCATTAGGTACACCTGTTCTTTGTGAAGGCATATGTCCAACTCACCAGTATTTGGACAGAAAGTGCATCAGAACAAGGAAAAGCGGGATTTAAGCGACTCTGATTGTGGTATAATTGCTGGTCTGAATATTTCATAAACTGCTGATCTACTGGGAGTTTCCCCTCGTAGCCATCTGCAGGGGTTACTGAGAAATGTCCAAAAAAAGAGAAAATATGTAGAGGTTAGAGGAGAATGGTCACTCTGCTTCAACCTGACAGGCAGCAGTAAATTAAACAACCACTCGTGACATGCAGAAGAGCTCACCCTGACAGTGTTTGAAACAGTTTGGCTGCAGCAGCAGAAGACCAGACTAGATGCTGCTTATGTCAGCCAATAAACTCACACAGGCTCATCAAGACTGGAAAAATGTTGCCTGGCCTGATTTGTCTCGATTTCTGCTGCAACATTCAGATGTCAGGATCATAATTTGGCATAAAAAACATGGATCCATCCTGCATTGTATGATTGGCTGCTGGTGGTGTAATAGTGTGGGGGATATTTTCTCGGCACACTTTGGGGCCCATGTCTGTCTCTTTATGACCACATAGTGTCCATCTTCTGATGGCTGCTCCTAGCAGAATAATATGTCGTGTTTCAAAGCTCGAGTAATCTCAAGCAGGTTTCTAAAAGATGACAATGAGTTCAGCCACCAGATTTCAATCTAATAGGACATCATGGATGTGCAGCTAACAAATCTGCAGTAACTCTGTGACATCATGTCAATGTGGACCAAAATCTCTCTCGAAACGTTTCCAACATGTTATTGAATCTATGCCATGAAGAATTAAGGCAGTTCTGAAGGGAAAAGGTGGCCCAACCTGGTACTAGCAAGATGCAACTAATGAAGTAGTGAGTAGAGTATGCATGTCTTGATGCATGCTCAATCATCCAGGTATTTAAATCGTAAAAGGTTGATTCTGTTCATCTGGACGTAGCGTTTTCAGTTCCAGATGAACAGAATCAATCTTTTGGGATCAGAGTATATATGTTTGACCATTTTCACTCTGCACGTCCAAACATGTCCTCAGGGACCAGACTGAAAATGGAGTAAATCAGTCGAATAATAAAAATGTAGTTGCAGCTGTTATTTTATGATTTCCTCTACTCGATGAGTATTTACACAGTTTGCTACAGTTAGACTGACATGAGAAAATGAAGGTGATTGCTAGTTACTCAGTCATAACCAGGTACTTGCTGAGGGGCTGCTGATTGATTTTGTTGCAAACCGTTGCAAACCAACTGCTCAGAAAAAGCCTAAACATGAAACAGAAACGTCATTTTCCCCTGACATTCATTTTAAAGCTGTTATTACTTTTTAAATTGTAAGTGCAGTGTTGTTCTTCACCAGTGATGTCCAACTCCAGTCCTCAAGGGCCGGTGTCCTGAAACTTTTCCATGTGTCCCTGTTACAACACACCTGAATAAAATTAGTAGGCGTTAGCAAGACTCTATAGAACTTGACTGCATGCTGAGCTGGCAACCCCTAACTCAAGTAAATTTAAGTAAATGTAACTGTTTGAAAAAATGTACTTCTAACAGTACCTTTATTGCACCTTGTTCATTCACTCATGAGCTGCTGTAACATGAGTCAAATGGCTGAGTTGCCACCTCAGCGTGCAGTCAAGTTTTGTAGTCTTGCTAATGACCTACTAATTGTATTCAGGTGTGTTGCAGCAGGGACACATGGGTCGTGTCCAAATTCATGAGCTGCGTCCTCCGGAGGCCGCATTTGTAGACCGATTACGTCACAGCGACGCGCCGAAGGCTGTCCAAATTCGTAGACTCCTCCGAATGCAGCCGACAAATGCGTCCTCCTTTTCCCCGAATTTGAAGGATGGGTTGGGTGTGTCCTTCGTGGCCTACCATATCCCAGAATTCATAGCGCGGCCCAGCCAAACTCCAGTTTCCAACAATGGCGGCCGCTACTAAGTTTTAAAATTACTCTTACTAATCTTTCTGGGTCACAAAATAAACTTTTAACATATTTTCAGGCGAGAAAGTAGCTGTGTAAACATCAAATATCTGCTCGGTTTATCAAGATATCCCATATTTGCAAAAGTGCTTCGACGTTTTCGGAGACGTCTGCTACCCACCAGCTCGACAGCTAGCCGGGAGCTCGAGGGTTACTGATGTGGCCGAGAACGGCACAACTCCCGGCACATCATTTTCAGATCACCGCGGACTTTCGCTGCTAGGGTTAAACGTAATATATAAGTCACTTAGACAACCTAAAAATGTTATTGTTGGGCTTTTTTCAGTGTTTTGTTTGTTCGTGAGTAAATCGGTTTGGCTGAGATTAAAGTTATTACAATAGATTAGATAAAATAAAACTTTATTAATCCCCCGGGTGGGTTCCTCCTTGGTTTTTACACAGCTGACTAAACGTGAAGCAGAAAACTGATTAAACAGAAGTGTGAGACAGTCGAGAATTTACGCCAGTGTCTGGTTATATTTTAGATAGCAAGAAGCAGACGGCCGAGTTTATTAAACTCCACCGAGACAGCGGTGACACTAATCTGAAGGCTAGACCGTCCAATTTCACGGCCGTTTACTTCCGGCCTACCCGACCTTCTGAGGACCCGGCCCACGTAGACCGCGAAGGCCGGGTCCTCAGGAGGATGCAGCCCATGAATTTGGACATGACCATAGAAAAGTTTCAGGACACCGGCCCTCGAGGAGTTTGAGAGCCCTGTTTTAGATGCATCCTTGTTCCGACACACCTGAATCAAATGAGTGGCTTGTTATCAGGCCTTTGCCAAACTTGATGGCTGAAGAGGTAATCCAACCATTTGGATTCAGCTGTGTTGGAGCAGGGATGCATCTAAAAGCTGCAGGACAGTAGCTCTCGAGGACTGGAGTTGGACGCCTCTGTTCTACACAATAGAAACTGCATTATAAAGTAAGCAAAATCACCTTTTTCCCCACTGGCCAATGAAACTTCCAGTAGTGCCCAATGTAACGTCAGACATTGGACAAATGTCTTGAGACTATGCTGATATGTATGACAGCAACATGTATATAATAAATGACTTAAGGCTGTAATTAATGAGTGTCCGACTTTCTCGTTGGTACAGCATCTTCTGTGGGTTCCTCGGCGCGTTCTTCGTCTACCTCAACAGACAGGTGGTGCTGTTTATGAGAAGACCCAATGCCATGACCCGCTTCCTGACTAAACAGTGAGCCTCTCTTTGCTGTGGTAGCTTTTAATTTACTTTAGCCCATGCTGCCTGTGCCTTACTGTGGGTATTTTAATTACTTTAATGCACAGGTATAATCAGGGTAATTACTGGTGCTTGTTTCGTTCACAGAGCTTTGACTTTCCTTTTGTTTTCCCTCCCAGCCGACTGCTTTTTCCCGCTGTGGTAACGCTGATAATCGCCACCTTGACCTTTCCACCTGGATTTGGACAGTTCATGGCAGGAGAGGTCAGTTTATAGCTTGTTGTCCTGTTTATTATGTAAGCACTATAGAATATTGAATAATTGATTTACATGCTAATTTATTTATTTTAGTAATCATTTGTTTTTACATCAAGAACACAAAGTTTTGGTGTCCAGTAACCATCCTCATGTAGTCGTATACGTATCGTAACCTGAAAGCTTGATCTGAGCTTCTTTGGCCTGAAGTCCACAGAAAACCGACACCAGCGGTCTCTTAGATCTTCGGTTTCCTTTGGTGCAAAGCATCATCACAGACCAGTAGCCATGATAAATGTGAGCCTGCTGTGTCCCCTCCACTGATGTCACATCACACAAGTTTTGGGATTTGAAGTTCAGTATTTACAAACCGTGACCTCTGAGTGCCGCAGGGTGCTCCTAACATGAACACTTAGTTTGAGCACTAATGAGAGACAAACCAGCGAACTTTAATCATGCAGTGAATTCAGTTAAGTTTGTAAAAGGCTGAAAAGTTTTCAGATATATAGAAGTTTATTCACTGGTTGCTTGAAGCCAAATTTCTCTCACTGTTTAGCAAAGTCGGGCAGAAGGCTGGAAAATAATGAGACACCCGAATGCACACATAAGCAAAACAGAGCCTGAGGGCTTGAACTGGCCTGTGGAACAAGTCAATCCGACCCCCGATGACCTAAAAGGAAAAGTAAACAAACCACAACCCGTTCATGTTACTGAACATTAAGGAGGATGACTGTAGTGAGTCTATACTGCTTTCTAATTTGATTTCAACATAGGACACGGGTGTGAAAACGAGTGCGTTTCCTGCGATGAGAAATGTGACAAGAAATTAAAAGTTGATTCTCATCTTATTGCATATTTTTCCACTTGGATTCATGGAGTTTGGTGTATTTCTGCTCTCTGTGTATCAATTGGCTCTTTGCTTACTTTATCTAACGCTACGTCCACACATACACAAGCATCTTTTTCTATGCGTTTGGACCTTTCGTCCACACGTAAATGGCGTTTTAGGTCACTGAAAACTGAGATTTTTAAAAACCACGTTATTGTTTACATGAGATGAATTTCTGCAATGGCGGATAGAGACAAAATACTGTTGCTGTTAATCTGACTATCTGCAGTTTTTACATGCTTACATATAAACATGCAGTTACTGTCCGTCCATTTACAAAGACAGAGGCGTCAGAGTGAACTTCTACATTAAACACAGACGCTCTTAAAACCCAAATCCCGACGCCAACGTTGGCGTTGGTTTTGAATAAATGTAATTTTTTTAAAAATTGAATGTATGCATGCTGTATGCATTTTGTTCATGCCTAAGTTGTGAGTCTCCACCAGCCATATTTCACAGTGCTGTGACTTATGATTATGAGTCACTCAGAGTGACGTGAAATTTTCAGTTTGTTTCTTTATTGAATAAACTCCGGCCAAGAGACCCAGTGAGACAAAATCCAAAATACTGTCTTTAGTTATTAACACTTTAAATGATGAAAGCACTTGAAAAGTAACACAAAATTAGCTGCCTTTCCAGAAAAACTACTACTTATCAGAAGTACTTAAGGTTTTGTGAGGGCCTGTTTACTCTTTCCCTCACAGGCTTCTAGTCTTCTGATTGGCCAACATTACTTCACGGTTAGGATTTGACATGTTCTTGACATCCTTTGACTTCATTTTTTGTGTTTACATGTGGACAGAGATATGTTTTCAAAACTGTACGTGTGGACAGGATTTTTTTTTTTTAAACTATAACAGACAATCTCAGTTTTCAAAAATAGCCGTGTACGTGTGGATGTAGCCTAAGTCAGCATGACTCACTGAGGCAGAAAATGCTACCCATCCCCTCCCGAATGTTTTTAATAATTGATATAAAAATTTGGCATATCGGTTTTTAGCCATGTTGTAAGGTTAACTTTGAAGCACGAGCCACACAGTATGATCTAGTAATATAATGTGAATAACTGTAGTATTATGTTGTGTTTCTTTTGGAAAGCTGTGTCAGTGTTTACGGCTCTTCACTCATTAAAGTCTTGGAGCCCAGGCTTTCAAAGTTCCCCGGCATGGAAAGAGACACCGCGGCCGTCAAACAATAAATATTTTAACATAGACGTTAATGCTCCACTTATGTGTGGCAACAGTTGACAAAATTGGTTGATTTATAGAAATAACACAGAAAAAAATCAAGTTTTTCTGATACCCAAAGACTTACTGAGAATGCACCAAACTAACTCAACCTACTCAATAATAAACCAACTCCTGTGTTTTGTGAAGTAAAATTCATGTTTTTCTGTTATACTCGGTCCTTTTCTTCCATGTCTATTGTCATCTCGTACTTAAGCCTCCTGACTCGACCCATGTTCTCCTTCTGCTGATCTCCTTTCTCTCATTTCCTGCCTGCTTGGCAGTTTGTTGACCACGGTGGAGAAATGTATGTCTGCACCTGTTTCCATTTTCATGGGAAAATATGAACTAAGACTCTTGCACAACACTGTCTATTCTGTTTTACCATTTTAGCCTTAAAAACTTGTTTTCCTTATACATCAGAATATTGCACATATCCCTATGTGCAATATTCTGAACATCTTTGCCATATTAATGCACATCTGTGGCCCTGCTGTGTGCAAATGGATTTTCAAGGTAAGAGAAAAGATCAACAGCTCACCCACCCAGAGCTAAAAGCTAATCATGTGTTTCACACGCACTCAGAATAGACCACTTAGTGTGAACCAGGTATGTGTTTTAATGCATATGTCAGTCAGTAACACCCCAACATGATTCACACACTCGTTGTAGAAATGCGTCACACCTTTTTAATGAAGACACACTGTGGGTTTTAACACGGGCGATGCCTAAATTGAAATCATTTCTCCTCAGGAAAAAGATTAAGTTGGTGAACAGGTCCATGTTTGACAGACACCTCTTCTTTTCCTCAAAGACTTTATCCACACCCTTTGGGGAATGAAATCCTTCCAATCCAACGTGGCAGCTCGGTGCAAAGTGACAGAAGAAGCAACTCACTGAGAGGAGATTAAATGCTACAAGGGTTGTGAACCAGACATGAACCCGCAACTTCAAAAAGCAGCAGGAAAGCCTTTTACATCCGAGCCCTGCAGAGGCCCACAGCAGCCTTTCACAGAACCTCAACAGTTCCACTCACACTCGAAACGGTGGATTTCAGGGACCACGATTCGAGCCGAACTCAAGCAGGAAATAGAAAAGTAGAGAAATCAAAATGACGTTGGTGCTGTTTCTCCCCCCGCAGTGGCGTTATGCAGATGCGGGAGGCGCTGCGTTTTGTTCCTGTGAGCAGTTTCAGAGGCATCTATGCAAATGTGGAGCAAAAACGGTTGAAGTGAATTAGTCATTCATGAGTCATCAGAAGTGAATGACTCATTGGACACGGCCACCCATACCCGTCTGCTTCCAGCCTTCTGGATGACTTCCTGCCTGTTTATCTCAATTGACTTTCTTCCTCACTTCACTTTTTTTCTCCCTTTTTCCCTCTTAAACTTCTTCCTCTTCTTCCGTGTCCATTTCCTTCTGATCCCTCATCCTCCTTTTAAATTTCACTCCGCCTTTAACCATATTTCCTCCTTCCCTTGCTCTCCTTTCCTCTCTCCCTTCACTGTTTCCTCCTTGTTTTTATTTTTATTTTCACCTTTTATTGCTATAACTTCCCCCTATATCCCTCTCCTTTTTGACTTTCTCATTAATTTTCAATAATTTTCTCATCCTGTTCTTCTTTTGCTTTACCTTCTCCCCATGTTTTGTGTAGAAGACCTCTTACATATCTTCCCTGTGTTCTAATCCTCTATTTCTTTGGAAAAAACGAGTTTTGTCACACTTTGAAAATGAAAAGTGTGAGGGTACTTTTTATTTCACAGATTTGTGAATGCATTGTTACGTTTGACTGACTCCTGTACATAAAAAAACTATAGACGGTGTAATGAAATTGGTCACATTTACTGTAATATGTAAAATGAGCAGGCAGAGTGCTAATTTATCATCTAACACTTGCAATCTTGGTTAGCAAGCTGCACTCATGAACTGCATGGGTGCAAAGGACAAACGCACATATAACACACAAGTAACCATCAAATAAAATACTTGAAGTTTATACAGAATATAGTTTGCAGTGTGTGCCACACGAAAAGTCATCATATTTGTTAGACAGTTGGAGGTTGTCTAAAAAATGAAGGTTGTTACTTGGTGAAAATGATTAACAGGAGGTCCGATTATCAGCTGATTTAACAGCTGATCAAAAGAAGAAAGCTTTGTTAGCCACGCCTGCTGTTTTTCAAGCCAAATTTTAAGTTTGACAAAAAATGGTTAAAGTATAACCGTCTCTGCTGTCGGTTAAAACCACTGCCTGGAAATGATTATGAATCAACTTCAGGGTGTGTCAAAGGTTTTTATTTTATTTTCACAATAATAAACTAAATCATTTTCCTAAACGTATCTAATTTTTATGTTATGGTTAATTTTGAATAGATATCAAAGTGTTCAGATTTTCACCTTGATGCAGGTTTGGCTTCACATTTTATTTAAAGTGCCTTTAAAAAGATCTTAAATTTAAATCAGGTACATTTGTAGATATTCTGCTTTTCTCCTCCTGCACCAGTTTCCCCTCTGTCCATCTGTCTCAGATTTTGTCCCTTCTGCCTCTCCTCACCTCATTTCCCCCTCTGTCCTCTTTCTTTCCAGCTGATGCCCAGAGAGTGCATCAACTCTCTGTTTGACAACTTCACATGGACAAAGATTTCAGGGTCTCCTCCACCGGTCGGTCTGGGCCGCTCTGCTGCCTGGCTGCACCCTAATGTCAGCGTCTTTGTCATTCTGGTGCTCTTCTTCCTCATGAAGGTTTGTGACTGCTAGGAAATTTTGTTTTGTCATCCTTTCTGTGTATTTGTGAGAAGTTACGTTATGCATCTACATGTTTATGTGAGATTGTTTGCGACACCGTGTGTGTGTTTGTGTTGGAAGGCAGGCTCCGACTGACGTCAGCATTTTCGTCATCCTCCTCCTCTTCATTAGGGACATTTGTTGCAGGTCACTCATGTTGTGTGTTGGTGAAGGGGACATCTGTGTTTGTCGTCTTCCTTTTCTTCCTGTTCAAGGTCAACAGAGCTGGCAGGCTGCCAACACTTCTAGCTTTCTTAGGTTTTCTTTAGCGCAGCCACACACACACACACACACACACACACACACACACACACACACACACACACACACACTCTCAAATCCCAGAGCTTCAGAATTCCCACTGTCTTCTTAGCTGTTTGCTTAAATATTTTATGAGCATAGATGTGTGTGTAAATCCGTTCTAGGTGCTGGGATGACAATGAATCAGCGAAAAAGTTGATGAAACGCTGTAAAAAAAAATCCCAGTTTGCACAAAGGTGGGCAAATGTGCACTAGAACATGACAAACAACCCAAATAAATCCTAATAAAGAAGAAACCTGTGATACAGACCAAGGTAAAGTCCTTTCAAAATAACATCAGACGTCTAACAGTTCAAAGGAGCCAAGCAGAGTGATAGGTCGTATAAAATCATGAAATTCAGACAATTAACTGATACAAAGAAACCCTTTGTCTATAAAGCTTGGGGACAATGACTGGTGCAAAAACCAGTGAACAAAGGATAAAAAGATGAACCTGACAGCCGTCTATTGGCCTTGAATACAGATGGCTGTCTGGTTAAAGATCTTATGCAGACTTTGAAATGATCGTTTAATGTCCAAGGCCATCTTTTCAGATTGCTCCCAAGTGCAGAAACTGCTCTCACCCATACAAATTAATGGGCGAAGTCATTAACATCCAGACAATGTCAGAGTAGAGGACAGCAGTCAGAAGGAATTTTGACAACAACCAGACAGGGTCCGAACAGGGTTGAGAATAATTGTGAAAATTATACGTGATCTGAAATCTGAACTGACTCTGGTGTCGTTATCGTCTTCACAAATGATGTTTGGGAGAATAAAGTCGAAGCATTTTCCAGAGTTGTTCTTTCTGGACTGAAAAGTCTGTTCGCAATCAATATATACTTTACTGGTGTTAAAGTGGAGTGTGGACCCTAAATGCAGACGTAGCACATGAACAGGCAGACTGTAACTCAAAATGAAGACAATTCAAGTCCAAAAGGCAACTTAATCAAAAAGTCAGGGAAAACAAAAAAGCAAACTCACCAGAAACATCACGAGACAGGAAAACTAAAGCGCTGCCAAAGGATAAAAGGACTGACTGGGCTTACTGTATGTACACACTGAGGATAATGAGAGTTGGAAACAGCTGAGGAAAACACATGAGTGCAAACAGTCTGGGAAAATGAGATGATGGCAAGCAAAACTCAACACAAGGCATGTGAACAAATAACTATCAGTGAAATAAAATGTGATAACTAAATGATGAAACCAGCGACACGAATGAACTTAATACAAGGGAGCTGATACTAAAACACAAAACTAACAATATAAACAAAACTATAACCAGGAACTAAGGAGAGGGAGACATTAAGCAAATGACACGACAAATGGAGAGTTATCAGAAGACATTAAAAAACCCTGTAAAGTTCATAAACTCAACATGCTGAGTCAATGACCCAGAACCAAGACAGCTGGTGCATTGATGTACAAGGGCTTGAAACTTACATGTTATTTATACATTTAAAAAAAACTGTCTCATGAAATAAAATGGACCTAAAATACAATGTAATCTTTAGAGGACACTCGTGATAATGACCTATACCTTTTTCACACTTGTGTGACGCTCGTCATTAATAGTAGGTGAACGACCTCCTAAAGCACAACCCCCGTAGGGTTTAAATCCCTGGGACTCCCTCTTGGTTTCAGAAGCCTCTTGGACGAGAGGTGAAACATCTTCAGAGTCTTTTAAGAAGTTCAGCTGCTCTCTTTTCAAGCTCTTACGACTACCATGACCTGGATGACTGAGAATCTACGCAGATATCAGAGCACACAAATTTCTATTGAACTCTGGGCATTTCCAAACAAATCTTTAAAAAAAAAAAAACCTGCAATGCTGTTCTTCCTTTTGAAATGCTGTGACCAGAACTTCCAAAGTCACGTAATGCTTGCTTTTTTATAAAATAAAAAAAAAGCCCAGACAGACAAAGTCTGGTCTCTAAATACTCCTGAGTCATGACCAGCCTACAGTCTGTTGGCTGGTGCAGAAAATGGTGCCAAGCTGTCGATGCCTCCTGTTTGGTGAAAATCTGTGACTTCTCAACAGCTCAGGCACACAGCAGTGTGAAAGCACATTACCATTTCACTAAATACAAAATACAAACTGCTACATGGAAGTCAGTTCATGTTTGTCTTGGTGATGTGTTATTATGCTATATGTTTCTGTCCACTTAAAACCACAAATATGTTCCTGTTTGCTTATTTTTCTTCAAAATTACGAAGCTTTTTCATGTGAGTCCAGCTGGAGGCAAACGATTATAAAGCCTGCATCTTAAACATCAACACTTGCTGTCACTGATGCTTAAAAATCAATCCAAATAAATAGTATACAGAATGTTTTGTAGCTCTATACATTTCACCATTTAAATTAGATTAAGTTTTCTTCAGGAAATTAGGTTAAATTTCCAAGATGACTCCAAAGAAAAGGTATTCTCACCCGTTTCTCTTTGAAGAGCCTCGATCTGTTTTTCTGTCTAAAGTCAAATTAGGCAGTAATGTTGTACAGATAATTGTATCAACAGGATATTAGAGGCTGTCACTCAGCATCATTCACTGCATTGGTTCAGTTATGGTGTTTCTCATTGGAGCAGAGCGGCCCCCTGCAGTGCAAACTTAATTCAGCCAAAACTGAGAGCAGCTGCCTGGTGAAACTCCCAACACACACACAGGGTTTTTTTTCCTGCTGCTGTCAGCTTTTCTCCACTACACACTCAAAATCTGCCTTCCTCTTTTGTCCTTTACTTGATTTGACTTTCCGTCGTTGTCTATTTAAAAAGCTCCATGAATGTTAAATCTAAATGCACATGTCAGCGTTGCAAAAGTTACTTGTGACAATAAATAAATGAGCGTAATCAGCTGTATCTTCAGTGAGTCCCTCATCCTGCATAGTTGTTCTCCAGCAGCTCAGAGTTCAGCTGCTTTTGCTAAATGAAGCAGGTTCTCCAAGTTCTGGTTAGAGAAACACTCCAGGTTGTAATGAATATCCAGAAAAGAGCAAGAAATTCTCTCGTTTTCCAAGAGAGTGTTCGACAATTAAACATAACCATCATAACGATAACCTACCCCAGTGGGTGGGTCACGGTGGCAGCATCCTAAGCAGAGAAGTCCAGACCTCCCTCTTCCCGGCAACTTCCTCCTACATATCCAGGGAAACACCAGTGCATTCCCAGCCGAGAGATATAATCTCTCCAGCATGTCCAGGGTCTGCCCCAGGGCTTCCTCCCCGTGGGACACCTCATCTAGGGGGTGCCCGGAGGCATCCTAGTTAGATCCCCGAACCACCTCAACTGGCTCCTTTGGATTTGGAGGAGCAGTGGCTCTACTCTGAGCCCATCTCAGATGGCCGAACTCCTCACCCTATCTCTAAGGGAGAGCCCAGCCACCCTTCAAAGAAACCCCATTTCCGGCACTTGTATCCACAGTCTCGTTCTTTCAGTCACTACCCACAGCTCGTGACCATAGATAAGGGTAGGGATGCAGATCAGCTGGTGAATTCAGAGCTTCGCTTCTACACTCAGCTCTCTCTTCTCCACGATGGACCGGTACAGCATCCGCATCGGGCAGCCGCAGCACCAATCCATCTGTCGATCGCCTGCTCCCTTCTCCCCACACTCGTGAACCACCCTTTTTCGGCTGAAAACCATGGCCTCAGATTTGGTGGTGCTGATTGTCTCAAACTGGGCTGCAAACCAGTCCAGTGCGAGCTGGAGGCTGTCACCTGATGAAGCCAACAGAACCACATCATTTGTGAAAAACAGAGATGAGATTCTGAGACCAAACAAGTGGAAGCCTTCTGCCACTTGCCTACATCCAGAAATTCTGTCTAAAACAGTTATGAACAGAATCGTGACAAAGGGCAGCCCTGGCAGAGTCCAACACCTACTGGAAACTCACCCATCCAAATCATTGAATTCCGGTGTTCCAGTCACTTCCATGGACACAGGTGTATAAAATTAAGCACCTAGGCATCCAGACTGCATCTACAAACATGGGTTGCTTTCAAGAGCTCACTGAATTATAGAATGGTACCGTGACAGGATGCCAGCTGTGCAACAAGTCCAGTCATGAAATTTCCTCATTTCTAAATATTCCACAGTCATCTGTTAGTGGTATTATGACAAAGTGAAAGGATTTCAAATCACAGAAACTCAGCCAGAAAGTGCTACGTAAAACCACGCGATTAAAAACTATGCATAGAAATGTGATATCACTCGAGTTCATATGCGTGTGAAGGCAGACGAGCAAATACTTTTGTCAATATAGTGTATATAAAAAAACTGATGAAGCCCACTGGTGACATAACCACCATCCACCATCTTAGCATAATGAAATCAATGAGACTGAGGGACACTGCACATGCATTGACTCACATATCCTGCTTTATCCTCCTTGCTGACTCAACTGAGAATCTTAATTACAACAATTTTAACTTCTTGCAACAACAGAGGTCACCCCCTGCTGGCTTTTAGAAAGAATGCAGGTGTAACACGCTTCACACTTTATCTGAAAAATGGACATCTTTTATATACAGTCTATGGTAGCACCTGTCTCTGAAGTTTTTTACTTAAATCTCTTTACATTGCTCTGTACTTCTTTCCCTTTTCTCCACTCCACTCTGTATTGGCCTCTCTGAAACACTGAAGCAAACAGAGTGTTTCAACTCCCATTTATCTCAGGATTTGTGACACTGATGAAGGAGCGAGTGCTGGGTGACACTGTGTTTGTATGTGTGAGACTCTCTTTGTGTGAGTTTCTGATTGATTGTGTTTGACTGTCAGGATTAAAAGAGAGCAGAAGACCGAGCGCAGTCTCCTCTGTCATCAGGATAGCAGCCACCCTGTGAAAGACGTGCTAATGAGTTTTTATCTTGTTCCACAGTAATTAAGTTAACAAACGATGATGACAAATTATGTGTAGAATTGGTAATCTGGATGGTTAAAATGGTAATGTAGTGTTTCCCACCAATCCATTTGAATGAAAAAGACAAAGCTTAGCATCTGGTGCCTGGAACAGACAGACTTTCACCCCCGCACACCAAAAATCCAGGGCTTGTCTGAAGGTATTCATTATCACTGATGAGCTCTCAGCACCCGAGTAGAAAGCATATTATTAGGAAAGCTATTTTGGAGTTACTTTCTGATGAATACAGAAATTATTTGGACGCGAACTGTGCAAATGACATTTGAAGGGTGAGTTTAGCTTTAGTTCACCCTGCAGAGGACCGTGATCTTTTCACGCACACATCGAGTTGGCAGCCACCCAGTGCAGCTACGTCACTATCTACTGCAGCTTCACTGGAGCAGCTGTTGATTAAGTGCCTTGCTCAAGGACACCCAAAGGTGATTGGGTCCCCTTCCTCACAGCATACATGTATACACGCTTTCAAGATTGGCCACTTCTGTAACACAGCAAGCGAATGCCAAATTGTATATTTGAGACAACAAGAGCTAAAAGACGTTCTCCAGTTGCTATGCACCCAACATGTTGGTAGCAGTCTAATTAGTATTAGATGGATGTGCTGCACTGACAAAGGAGATGTATTGAAAATGAAAACAAAAACAAAGAAAAGAGCTCATGTGTTTTCTTTTGAACTTGAAGGTTTAGAATTAAATTGTGTGTTTTGTCTGATTGTCTTGTTCAGCTTTTCAAACTCTGAATAGTGCTTCTCATGCTAATAGCTAACGTAATCAAACTTGGTTAGCAAGCTGCATTTATATACTGTACACATGCATCAGAAAAACACATAGCCTACCTGCTAATTAGCGCTAACAGATAAAATACAGAAACTGCCTTCACTGAAACTGAGCTACATACTTCTTAAATGGTAAATTTAAATGCACAATAAGCCATATTAGTATACCAACAGCACAAACATGATCCAAAACCACAGTTCATTGACTTTAATGAGTACAGGTGAGGCTAATCACAATGGCTAAGCACTTTTAACCTAACATTCACACATTCGTACCCTGATGGATGCATTGGGAGAAACTTGGGGTTAAGCGTCCAAACATACTTCATAGGTATGACATGCAGACTAGAGGAGCCGGGGATCAAATCCCTGACCTTCAAATAGGTAAACGATCTATTCTAACTCCTGAGCCACAACTGCCACAGGTCACAACTGTGGCTGTAAACATATTTATTTCTCTGTAAAGTTTGTAATTTTAGGTATTTTAACATGAAAGTGTAGATTCTAGATCGATGCGATCCTGAGCATCGAGTGGCTGGGTGGAGGAATTTTAGTTTTTGGCACTTTGCATTGGTGTCATTTGGGTTAAAGCACATTATTAAGTTCTGTTAATACAACCTGCCCAGAATTCAGGCCACATGTTCTCAAAAGAATGTCACCGAATGTCTTCTGTAACCAGCTTTTAGAAAAGAATGATTTTAGCACATGCACATAATGTGCAGTATTTCACACGCAATTATTCCTACAAAGGAAAACAAAACTAATGAACCAAAGAAAGTTAAAAATAGACACACACATGCATCATATGTGCTAAAAATTAAATAGCTATTCATTCCCAGTGTTGTTTTCTGCTCCAAATCAAACTTCAGCCCAATACCACAGTTCGGATTCATATCACTAAGTTATTATGTCCTTGGAGGCTTTATTGTCCAAATATCAGGCACACACTCATTTCATGAATCCAGTATAGTGTTGTAGGCAGATATGTGAGTTTCCAGTGTGAAAGCAGAGTGCCCTAACATGACTTAAACGTGGTTCACAAGCCAGTATTTCTCCACAGGTGGAGGTGGAGACACCGATAAGAGGCTGAACTGTAAGAAAGTTAAGTCTCATCTGGTTTCTATTGGTTGCAATCGTCAGCTCTGAGTTTTTGACTAAAAAGGGTTTCATGTCGTCTCTCCTGCAGTTTTGGATGTCTGCTGTGGCCACCACCATGCCCATCCCATCCGGAGCTTTCATGCCGGTCTTCATCCTAGGTGAGTGTTTTGAAGCTTTGCATTGGTTTAAGTCTTCATCCTCTTTGGTTGTCACTATAAATACTGACTCTGTAAACAGTACAGTTCAGAAACCTTTATCTAAACTTTAATGATTCACACGCTTCGTCAGTGACGTGATGATAATTAATGTATTTTATTTTTAAACTATATTTACTTTTAGCCCCACTTTCATCCTATAGGAGCTGCATTTGGCAGGCTGGTAGGGGAGATCATGGCCACTCTGTTTCCTCATGGGATCGTGTTTGATGGCATCCTTTACCGCATCATCCCTGGAGGGTACGCAGTCATCGGTTAGTTTCTTGTTTCTCCTCATAGCTTTTCTCCACATGTTTACTCTTTAATCACAGCTATGATCCACCTTAGCAACTAGCCTATTTTTTAGCTTCACATATAAGTCTTACTGTCAAACTGTCCTCATCTTTTTTCCCCTTAACTGTCAGCTTCCTGTGCCCTCAGCTTGTCGGGCGTGTTCCACCCTCTTCCTCTTTCTGTACTGTCACTTCCCTCGTCTTCTTTCTCCTTCAGCTTCTCCTTCTGTCAGCCTCTCTGGTCCTCCAGTCATCACTCATTGTCAACTTGTCCCCCCCACCTAATCCGCTACCCCACCCCCATTCTTGTCATCTTCTCCCTCCATCCCAACTCCTCTTCCTCCTTTCCATCAGAGCATGTGGTCGCTGTGCTCTGACAGTTAAATGTCACCCTGGGTTTGCTCTGCTGTCCTCACCTCAACAGCTGACCCAGAAATGTGGCCTTTTCTTCAATCCTCGCTCCCATTGGCCTACAAAAGCCCGTCCTTAATTTCTCTCCTCCTTCTCTACCTTTTTTAACCTCTTCTTCTCTTTTATCCTTCTCTCGGTAGCCTCCCAGTATCTCCTTACATTGCTTCTCATTAATCTACTCTTGTGCAGCATGGTTTCCTCTTCCTTCCACTGATTTTCCTTTTCTCCCTCATTCTCTTTGCTCTTTTTTAAACATTATCACCCTCATTCTTGATTTTCTTTTTTCTCTTAATTTTATTTCTTTTGAGTCTGTTCCTGTCTGCTCCCATCCTATTCTGCTCTGCTTTTCCAGTCTTCCTTGTCTTTTAACTTCTGCGTATCTCGTTTTCTACTTTCCATCAGTATACTTTTACCCTTCCTCCTTCCTGTTACTCCGTGATCCATCTCTTCCTACTGTATCTTGTACTGTCTTTCCTTTGGCACGTCTCCCTTCCCCCCACCCTCATCATCCCATCCCGTTTCTCTGGCAGGAGCAGCAGCGTTGACTGGGGCTGTGACTCACACAGTGTCCACAGCGGTTATCTGCTTCGAGCTGACAGGTCAGATCTCCCACATCCTGCCCATGATGGTGGCAGTAATCCTGGCCAACATGGTGGCCCAGGGCCTGCAGCCCTCCCTCTACGACTCCATCATCCAAGTCAAGAAGCTCCCGTACCTGCCGGAGCTTGGCTTCGGACACATGAGGTCTGTTTTCTTTTTACAAGCCAGTTGTGGGAACGATGTCAACAAATTTAAAATGATGCCCTCCATAACTCCAGCTGGCAGGGAAATAAATGGTGTAATTGTTGGTGGATAAAAAACATTAAGGAATTACATTTCTGCATAATTAATAAATGTTTGCAAGAAAATAAAAGAAAGTGACAAAAAGAGGTTTCCAGTTAACCCCTTCAGATGAGGAAACCTTACAATTATAAAGGACCCTCAGCATGCAGAGATGCCATGCAGCTGAAACATGTAATTTGTGCCTCTTGGTAACGATGAAGGGTAATTTTCTTGTACAGTGCTTTCTAAAATTGTGTAGCAGTTCCATCTTTGTGTATCTGTTTCACAGCCAATACAACATCTTTGTAGAGGACATCATGGTGAGGACGGTGAAGTTTATGTCGTCTCAGTCCACATACCGAGAAGTCAAACTCCTGCTGGACTCCACCTCGCTCAAATCGATCCCCCTGGTCGACTCAAAAGGTAAACAGACTGATGAAGCGCCTTCCTTGCTATTTCGACTGGGAATTATAGAGATCAGGGGTCGGCAACCTTTAACACCCAAAGAGCCATTTGGACCCAGTTTCCACAGAAAGGAAAACACTGGGAGCTGCAAATACTTTTTGACATCTAAAATAAAGATAACACTGTATATATTGTTTGTTTGTTTTTACCTTTATGCTTTCTATAAACAACTATAGTGTGTTGTGCATGAAATCCACAAAGTGCTACAGAGAAAATTAAATTTTATTTATGGAATGGACACAAACATTTTAAACTCTTAAAAAATTATAACAAAAAAGAAACATGCCGAGTTGAAGGTCTCTTTTAAATGAATATAAAGCTAAACTTAAATGATCCATTTACCAAATAAAAAATGTTGTGAGCCGTCATCCTTATGTCGCCTTTGGGCTTTCGAAGACTGTAGCCGAACCTTGACCTGAATTTAAAAAATAAACTGGAAAAAAGTCCTATGCTACTAAACAATGAAAAATAAAAATTTGCAAAATATTTGCATAAATATTTATTTTACCTGGTTAATGTGTGCAGCGGAGCGTGGTCTGCGGTGCCGCTGCAAGGAGGCGGATGCACCTGAGCGGCATCCGAAATCATGCCTCGTGCTCTCTGCGCTGTTGTGTTGTTGTTGGTACGTGTCAGGCTGTGAGCTGGAAAGCTAAAGCCAGCTGCATGTGTGCAGCAACTGTGAGTGAAAAGTGGTCAATAAAGAGATGCTGAAAAGCATGTTCATGCAAACATCGTCGGGTCTGCCGTGATATGTTTACAATGGCACTTCTGCTCCTGAACCTCTGCGCACAGCGTCTGCAAATCGGGGCTGTACGAGTCACTTTCAGCTTTACGCAGGACTGTCGTCTGTGAGGCGTGAGCGGTGTTTGTTTTTAACATAGTTCATGGTGGAGAACAGCTGCTCACATACGTATGTGGATCAACAATCCACAAATCAGGCATGCTGGTAGGCTTCTCACTCTTGTCAGAAGTAAATGAATCTGCCCCGGCATCAACAAATGTTCTATTTTCTTCAGATATTTTTCTTTTCTTACATTTCTCCATACTTGGCCTACCTGGGGTTGAAAGTCTCAATAAATGCACGACGTTTTGGAGGGTGTACCAGCTTCCGTGAGTGTGACGCTTATTTTGAGCAACAAAAAATAATAAAATATAATTTTATTTTAATATTTCAAGATAAATCAATAATTTTCCAGTCTCGAACTGCAAGTTGAAAAAAAGAACTAACACAAGTAAAACACACTTCTGTTAAATAGTTATAATTTATTTTCCCAAGCCAGCTGGGATAGGCTCCAGCGCCCCCCGCGACCCTGAAAAGGATAAGCGGAAGCGAATGGATGGATGGATGGATGCATTTTTAATGGATTTTATAGGAATCATAAGGCATCGTGATATTAATAAAATTAACATCTGTTTCTCTGCTTCCAGATTCTATGATCTTATTGGGCAGCATTGACAGGGTGGAGCTTCTGGCTCTCTGTGATTGGTGGTTGTCACCAGAAAGAAGGCTCCTGATGCAGGTGAGGACAGTCACAGGGCAACCACCAACTTAACAACCACCAAAATTTGTATCTGTGACATAAATTGTTCACCTTACACCTAAATCCAGAATGAAGAATTTCAAACAAGCCGTGCAGATCTGGTAAAACTGCCCACAGGGTGGGTTTTTGCTACTTTCCATAGTTTTAAAGAGAAACACAAGTAAAGTTTTCTCAGTTTTACTTCAAGCTGAATAACAATGATGCATTTAAATGATGCAGAACATGTAAATGATTGTTATAAATACCTTGTGGAGCGCTGCTGTGTACAAGCACGATTTCATGTATAAACACAGGAGCTAACATCCTGTGGGTTTACTGGGTTGTTTTTGAAGCACTTTGCTCCCTAAAGCAGATGTATAATGTATAACTAGTGTACAAACATGGTTGTTAATGCAATAATTCCATTAACGTTTTACCGAAATTACATAATGTTGAGTTTACAGCATGACATTGTCAGTGAATTAGCTGCTCGAGCGCCTCTCGAGTTCAGCTGAAGCTCTGTGTATTCATGCAGAGGCAGAGCCTGAAGCCAGACATTAAAATAACAAGTGTTTACAATTGTTATTGATTTGGGGCACTGAAAAGTCAGCTGGTACTGAGCAGAGTGAAATCTAAAACTGGAAAACATTATGGAAATTATGAAACATTCTAGTAATCGCTGTGTTTTTTTATGTGATGGTGTTAAAAATCTCTCTGCTCGTTTTTCTTGATATAAAAATGAACATTTTTGGAGAAGATTTTTCCCATGAAATCACCAATAGTACCAATCTGTGGTCTACTAATCTAAGCCAAGTGATTCCCACTGAAGAACTTTATAATGATGTTTGATATTATCACGCTATTATTAATGTATTATTATTACACTATTCAGCATTATTAAGTGTTTCATTCATGCAGACATGTTTATCCTCTGTTACTGTCACACTATGTAAAGCTATCACTGCAGTGCTACCACATCACTGCTATTAACAATCATAATTATAAACATAAGATACCTTAATCATGCTTACTAGTGTGACATTATTATGTAGTCCTAAAATTATTTCTGATGTTGATAAATATCTTAAAACAGAAATTAAATATACTCAGTCAGATGCTGGAAAGGAAAAGACACGGAGACTGAACCTTGACTGTGTAAAAGATATTGATTTTGTAGTGAGTGGAAGACCTTCTGTACAGTAATGATTCACCTTAAAAGCCCAAAAGGAGAACTCTGTGTCTTGGATTTGCTAACCCAACAGGACTTAAAATAAAGAGCAGGTGTTAAAACAACATCGACGTTAAGCAGTTAGATTAGATTTAGTCTGGCGCAGGTACAGCACCGCTCTGTTTTAATGTGTTTGTCTGGATGTGAGTTCAGGGTCGCAGCCTACAGGAGCAGAACCAGTCTCAGAAGCACAGCTGGGAGTCCTTCGCCTTCGTAGATGAGGAGGAGGAGGAGGAGGAGGAGGAGGAGGGAGAGAAGGTGGGCGTTTCATTTAATATATTCATAGGGATTATTCATTTATTGTGTATGGGTTTTCTCTCTGTAGCTGCTTTCCTCAGTTTTAATTTGTTTGACGTTTAAGTGAAAGATTGACCCGGTCATAGATTTATGCCAATTGTATTCAGCGTAAATATATGCAATGCAAATTCCTCTGTGTTACAGTTTTCCTTCCAAATTTAACTGAAGCTATCAGCAGAATGTGAAAAAGCAACGACTTTGACTTAATGTCCCAAACATCTGTGCACTGTGCTGAAGGAATATCAACTGAATGTGAATTTAGTTCCATAAGATGGTGCAGAGAGTAAATGTAACTTTTATTTTAATCAGGCAAGTGATTAAAAACTCGATTATGTTCAATGGCTTTTGGGAAGATGCACGACCTTTTGAGGTCATTTGTTTAGGTCTAAAAGAATATAAGGAGTTAAAAGACCAACATCCGAAAATATTTCAGAGCATCCAGAGGTAAAACGCTGCCCCCTGGTGGTGAGGAATGAAGTTATTATTAATTAGATTTTGCACTTACAAAAAGTACCTTTAAAATATTGCTGCTTGTCCCTTGCATTAAATCCTAGTTTAACCTTTACCACTTGGTCTGCAGGTTCTTTATTAATGCTAATGTCCTTAATAACACGTGGCCGTCGTCTGCAGGGTAGTCCAGTCCAGGAGGAGAGGAACGGTCCCCTGCCTCCTCAGAAGCCCCAGGAGCCTTCCTCAAACCACACTGCTCCTGCTCCTGGTGAGTTGAGAGGATTACATATTCATGAGAAAACATAAATATTTAATATTGGCAGAGGTGTAGTAGTCATACATTATCTCTAAACATGACTGTGTATAAATTTCTCACCCTTACAGCTGCTTCAGAGGAGGAATATATTACCGTACGCCGAATATTAAAAAAGGATGAACAATTCCTTCACCTTTTTTGTCTGTTATTATTGTAATAATGTTATTCTTATTTGTAATGGTGGTCTGGGTAAAGCAAAGCAGCACACGTCCAAACATTTTAACACATCATGTATTCGGAGGGTGATGCGTTCGCTGTTGCCCAAGTTTCTGTTCAAGTTCAGCACAGGGTTAAAGGTCAATTTTATCTAGACAGAAATCAGATTGCAGAAGACAATTACAATTTCTGATCTCTCTTCCTTAGCTCGGTTACACCCGTGGAGTTGTGCGGCATGGAGGCGAGGCTGGGGAATGAAAGCCTTATGGCTCCTGTCACAGTAATATTGATTCTTTCAGACAAGTTTTGCTCACTAGGATGATGTAATGGGATTTATTCTTCGCTATGTCTCCCCTTCTTCTCCTTGAAAAAAAAATCTCCTCTGATATGACTAAGCATTTAGTCACATCCCAGATGGTGTATGAGGCTCACCAGGTTCTCATATCTGCTGAGCAGATTACTGCCCAGAGGACACAAACACGTCTTATTGGTGCTCGTGAAGTATGAAAAGGGGGACCCATCAGAATTAATCAAATCATAAGGAACAATGTGATGTTACACAACGTGCAAACAGCAGTGGCAGCATTAATGCTAATCCAAACACACAGGGGTCAGGAGGAACGGCCCTCTGAGCCGTTTTTAGCAATAAAGCAGTTTAAACAAGTTAAAGACATCACGCAGGGACTGAGCTTCTTACTCTTATAACACTCACAAAGATGGTCACACTTTGAATTGTTCATGTCATATTTATTTGGGAGGCTGAATTAGGACTGAAGCTGGTCTTTGCACTGATCATAGACAGTACAAAAGCTGCAATTTTGGGAAATCTGAAGTAAGAACTTCAGTTTAACACACAGTTCAAAATGGTAGCTCCATTTCTGCATCTCACAGGCACATTCGAATAAAAGTTTAATTATCCCACTTGGGAGGATTTATTCAGGAGTCTTCAGAAAACAAAGAGGTGAACGCACAGCAACAAACACCGTCGAGCTAAATGTGAAATGAAATGGAAAACATCTATAATAATAATAGATGACTGGAGAAATTGTTATAAATAATATTTACTTCAAATTGAAATTGAAAAGGCGGTGCAGGTTTTAGTCGTGGAACTGCTGACAGAGTGAGTAGTTTAACACAACTGTTAATACATGAAGCCAAAATATGTGTTGCTTTTAGATTTGTTGGTTTAAAAACAGAGTTTACATCATTTGTTAAACAGATTTCAGCTTTTAATGGTGCTTTTTGAGCCTTTTATCTGTCTTTAAACTGGAGCTGTTATGCTCAGCTTCCCTTTTTTATTTTTAAACTATAATAAAGGTGTTTTGTATGTTTTACAGTTTAAAATAATAATTTTCTGCTTTGATGTTTGCATCCCCTCAGTTCCCCCACTTCATGCAGCAGACAGGTGGGATATATTAGAGATATCCCTGTTGGACATAAAACAGATCCATATTTTTTCTTCTGGTTATCCAGTTTAGTGTCACAGCGGGTTTTTTCCTGTCCCACCTGTCCAGGGTGAGAAGTGGGATACAGCTGTCACAGAGAGACAGACAATTATTCACACCTACGGTTAATTTACAATCTAATAACCACCTAGCCCCACTTATGTCTTTGGACTGTGGGAGGAAGCTGGAGTACCCCGAGAGGACACATGTAGAGTAATGGACGTCGTTAAGGATGCCATCAAACAGGGTGGCTTTGATCTCTCCACCAGTCTGCCACACAGTCTCTCACTGACATGATCGAGTCAAAAGTAGGAAAAACAGTGTTTAACACAGTCTGAAGCTTTCAGGTCAAATGGATTACTTACAAATAATGACCTCATTGTTTGAACTGACCATGTTTAATATAAGCATCCATAATTTTAACTGTGTGTATGTATATATGGCAAACAATTACAAAAAAAGCATAAAAAGTCCACTTAATTTTAGTGGCTGAGAGAAGAGAAGCGGTAAAGAAGATGAATTCAAGGTAGGGAAAATGCAATGCATATATATTCTAAACCATTTTGCAGATGACTCACGTGAGAAGAAATGCACAGGCTTGAAGTTGTCCTTTAGGAGTTGACTGCACTTCAGCACAACAGTATAATCTTTGCAAAGAGTCTGTGTTTGCTTAGTGAACAGAAGTCTGTGCATTATTCCTGTTGTTTCCAGTAATTTGATACATAAAAATATACTTTATGCATTAAAACGCAACTTAAAATGTGTTTTTTGCAGCTTGCAAAACCCTGAATGCAAATTTGTTAAGTTCACGAGAAAGGCTTGCTTACAGAAAGATAGCTGTGTTTGATCATTAAATAACTCAAGGCAAGCCTAGCTTTACCTGTAACATATTTATTTTCTCCATCACATGTTGGTGAGACTCCCGATGGTGACAAACCAGAAGACTCCCCACTAAACTCAATCATACCCTGCAGCAATAAATATGTTCTTCTAGCTTTTTAAAGGTTAAAGTTAAACCTGTCTACTCTTTTTGTTAGGTTTCCAAATTGACTTCAACATGTTCATTGCTGCCCTCAACAGATGTCAAATGTTTGGAATTAATAACTTTGCAACCCTAACAGCAGTGAGCGAAGGTTTGGCAGCTTGTTCACTCCAAGTATCCAGATGGTGTCTGTGCCTATTGTGGCACAGCAAACTGCTCAGTAGCCCATCAAACATAACAAGAGACAGACAATGTCCCAGTGAAATGGTTTCCAGGCAACAACGAGGGTTTTTTCCCTGCAGTCTCTAAAAGTCTCCATTTACTCTTGAGTTATTTTCTCCAAAGCTGCATTTGTATAATTTATTGACCTTTTACCCACTGAGTCTCCTTCTCCACTCCTCCCTCAGAAAAAGGTTCTCTGCAGTCTGTGAGGAAAACACTCAGGAATATCTTCACCTCTAAGAGCAGGCAGACAGAGGGCCAGTCTCAGGTGTGTCTGCACGTCTCATTGCATGTCTAGTGCGTGTGCTCTCATGCATCATCTGCATTAAATATGCTTCACATCTCCACTCTGTATGTCACGTCTTTGTAGGGTGGGATGGTTTTCTTTTTTTTACAATAATTAATTCGTGCATTGCTCTCGGTCTCATGTTTTGTCCTTTCTGCTTAAAAGACATGATAAATACAATCAAACAAAGGAGAAAAGATTAAATTCTGTTTAAATATGCAGTAATTAAACCCCTCTTTCACGCAGGGCTATTAGACAAGGCATGACACCTTAATTCAATGCAGTATCATCTCTGTTGTCACATGGAAACCACTTAAGAGAAATGTGAGTGGCTATTTTTCTTTTTACTGCAAAGGCAAGAACAGTCATGTGAACCTCTGAGAGCAGGCAGACACGTTCAGGTGTGTCTGCGCTTCTTATTGCACACTTCAGCAGTTTGTAAAACCAGCTTTACCAGTAATAACTTTTTCTGCATGACTTTATCAGCCTCTCACATTGTTGTGGAGGAGTTTTTGCCCATTATTCTCTAGAACATGGTGCCAGTTCAATGAGGCCATGCACAGCTCTCTCCACTGCATGTCAGTTAGGTTGTGGTCTGGACTTTGACTGGGCTGTTGCAGCACCTCAATTCTTTCCTTTTTTGTAGATTTGCCGGTCAGTGTCGGCTCATTGTCCTGTTGCATGACCCAATTTCCTGGCAACCTTTCCAAACAGGCCATGCTTGTTCAGGCTTTTGTGCTGTCATGCACTGTAACATTCAACATGCTAACTGAGGCCTGTAGAGTCTGGGATGTTTGCTCAGATGTCGGCTCCTGGGAGGATTGCGGCTTTGTGTTAAAGCACACCTGAATGCCCCTAGACGTACAAACAGTCAAAACTTATTTATATTAGATGATGATTTGTGTTGGAGTCACAACTCAACAATAGTAATATATTATATATTACTCATTAATTTTTTTAAAAGTAATGCAGTACGTTACTTAATTAGACACCAGAAAAAGTGACCCACTACATTCTGTAACATGACATGAATCGCATTTTCACAAAGTTACCAGTTAACGATATAAACCTGAGGCTACAGTTCCACACACTGACAAAAATCCCTTTTTTAAAATAGCTTTTTCAAATGCAAAGTTGAAAACCATCCAAAGAGACTTAAAGCTACTGCTGCAGTGATTCTACTGTACAAACATGCACAGTAAAAACAATGGAGGCTACAATGCTGCAAGCATGGCTGCTCATCACTGCCTTTGTTACCTACTGAAGTTGATGTGATCATTGTTTAGTACAATAATGCATTATGTAACTGCATTACTGATTACAGTAACATGTTACTTTTGAGCACATTACACCCAACAGTGCTGATGTTTAGTAAATCTAGTTCATCAGATTAGCAGCACCTCACTGTTACTTACCCTCTTAATTCCTATGGAAGCAGTTAGGGTGTCTTTATTCCAGGCGAATGGAAGATGGAGTCTGCTTTCTATTCAGGCAGATGCATGCTTATCTGATTGACAGAAGCACATGAATTCACGTCTCATCCACAGGAAAACTCACTGAAGTCGAGCATCTTTCTCTCCACCTACTCTCGCTCGCTCTCATGGAAATGCAGATGCTGGTGGCAGAGTCATTATATTCAGCTTGGTGGTGATCTTGGCTCGCAAGGAAGGCAGTACATGCAAGAATGAAAACCACACTGGAAATAAGCATATGCTTGTGAACTGGCAAGATTAGAATTTGATTTGTGTTGTGCCCACTGCTGTGGCTGGTGAATTACCAGTCTGACTCTCTATTATGTTTTTGGATTCAATCCTGTTCCTCAGTGGGGATTGTTTTTACATCAGCCACACTTCTACAACCATGAATATCAAATAGGCACACAGTGGGATGTTGCTACCAGCAATCAAGCCAAGCTGAGGCTGGATTCTCTCTGTGACCCAGGTATTGTTTATTTTACCAACTGCCGAGTGCAGGTAACCAAACAATGACCTTTAGGACAACATCTGGCAGGTGTAATAATATTAGCATGCTGCTAATCCTTGAATAAAACAATAGTTATACTTTCAGTGATAAACTATAGACTGTATCTAAAAGATGGATGTAGCCACAGTGCGGCGATTAGCATTCTGAAGCCTCAGCTTTAGCTTCAGGGCTGTTGCCATCTTTGTTTCATGGTTGGAGAGGGTTGCTAGGTAACCAGTGAACACCATTAAGCTCGGAAGGCACTTGTGTATGATTTTCCTCACTTTTCTCCGTGCTGTCTCCTGTATGTAGAAGAGAAGTTTAGCTCCAGCCACCCTGAATTTGTATCAGTGAGCAGGCCTCCCATTTCTGATTGGGAGACGTGCTTATTTACTGTAATGCAAAGAATTGCATAGATTTTATATTTAATTACATAGCACAAAAACATCACTTGGTGTTTTGTGTCTATGCACCATAAGACAACCAAAGCTGTGATTCTCCTGATATCGCTGACAAACCACAGCTGGAGGTTTTTGGTGCAACTTTGCTTTGATGTAGACAGACAAAATATGAGGTTAGCTTAGCGAAAAGTAGGCAAAATCGTAGTTCAACTTACTCCATCTTAGTCCATCTTTTCGTTCTGGCTGTTAGGGTTAAAAAAAACTTGTCTTCAAAATTGGTGATAAAGCACCAACTCCACAAACAAGGTGGAGAGTTGTTGTTTAGTGCAGGTCAAACCCAGCAGCTGATGCAGCTCCAGCCCTTCAGTCAAAGCAGTCCTGCTGCTAATAAGTCAGTGACATTTAAACAAAATTCATCTGTCATACAGTTGTAGTGAAGTGAGAGTTAAAAACAGACACCAAATGACTTCCCAGAGCTCATGACGATGGTGAGGGCAGGACGGTAGACTGAATGCTAAATCGAGAGCTCCACTTTTATGCTCTAGTCAATCTCACGCTCCACTCTCCCCACACTCGTGAACAAGACCCCGAAGTAGTAACTCGTTCCTGACCTGGAGGGGACACTCCACCCTCTTCCAGCTAAGGACCATGGCCTCAGATTTGTCTTTCCTATTGCTTCACACTTAGCTGCAAACCACTCCAGGGTGACCTCCATGCAATTTTGCGTAGGCGTGTCAACCAAGATAGCTCTACAACATCCAAAGCCTTCAGGAACGCAGGGAAACTCTTATCTACCCCAGGGGCCCTGCCACCAAGGAGTTGTTTGACTGCCTCGGTGACCTCGTCCCCAGTGATAGGCGAGTTGTTCCCCTATCCCCCAGACCCCGTTTCCTCTACACAAGATGTGTCAGTGGGATTAAGGATCCTCAAAGTGTTCCCTCTACCACTTGACTATATCTTCAGTTGAGGTCCCAGTAACACTGTATGCAGTTTGAGTAGAGCACCACTCCCCCCCCCCCGAGACATCTGATGTTTACCAGAATAACTTTGAGGCTAATCAAAAGGGTTTTTTTCCCCATGGTTTCACCACACTGCTACCACATCCAAATTATTGTGTCAGCCACTGCCAGAGCTGCTCTCTACTTGTCCTGCCAGTACCTTTCTGCTCCCTCTGAAATCACACAGGGCAACGGAGCACGTTTAGAGTCCTCCTTCAGTAAAAAATCCATCCACAGACATGCAAACGCACGTTGAAGTACCCAAAACTGGATGTTTTGATTGTTCCTGTTGCAGAGTGTGTCTCCAGGATCACATTTTGCCACAATAACACACCCACAGAATCATATTGTTTCCACAAGGTGAAAGCAATATTAGCTCTGCGATCGCAGCTAGTAATAAATTCAGTTTCACAAAAAAGGTCGCAGCAGGTGTTGGCCTGAATTTCACCTGCTGCATTCATTTAACTCACAAAACTGCTGATGTGCTGTGGGAGTGAAACACGAACACAGGAAACTGGATGACAGAAGCCTGAAAACAAAGAGACAGACAGAAATCTAATGTGAGACTGTATAGAGTTCAATACATTCATTTTAAGAGTTATGAGTAGTTTGAAATGTGTGTTTGCCTAATATTCATGGTATGAAACAGGTTTTCTTTGAGTTGCTGGTAGTTTCCTCCCCTAATGTAAGATTCAGATGAGCTTCTAGAGTTAGAAGTATCACCACGACCTGTTTCAGAGGACAGGGTGTTTTTATAAAATCACTCCAGATCATTTCTCTTCTTTTCCCTGTTTTTTCGTCTCCAGGAGCCTTGTCCTCCTCCGCTGTCAGACACAATGACACCAGAAGAGGTACAGTAATGAAGGATTTGCATAATTTTACAGAATAGTCTGCTGAATAATTTTAAGCATGCTATTTGAATGCTTACTCATAGAGCAAGTGCTGAGTCACAAGACATTATCCCACAAAGTGGGAGCAATAATCTTTGACAGCAGGTTTTTGTATTTGCAAGTGATGCAAGAACCACACAGGCTTCCTGGGGTCATTAAAAGCTCAAATATTAAAAAGTGTTTAAAAAGTCTTATTTGTACTACAGTACAGTATCCAATAAGATTAATCTTAAAATCAGGGGTTTTTTTAGGTTGTTGTTGTTTTACTGTTACTTTATCTGTGTTTCTGTCTTCGGTACAGGTTAACACAATGGGGTCTAACTCCTCCATGAATAAAAAATAAAAAAATAAAAATCACTTTTTGGTATTAAAAAATGTAAAACGCAAAACTATTTCAGAGGAAAACTTTTGATTGTTGTCTCTCCATAGCATTCAGGTCCACAAAGTCTCAAAGTCTCCAAAACACACACAAACTGCTCCACTTTCCTCCTCCTGCCACTCGAGCACCTTAAATGCTCATTAAGCTTCAGTGTTTGCTGGCAGGGAGCCTGCAGGGACAAACAAGTATATTATGTTTTGCACATTGATTTGATTTTATAAAGCCCAGTAGGCTTACAAGACTCCAGTAACAGCAAAACAGAGCCAGATAGTAACACAGATAAAGAATCCAACCTGTCTAAAAGCAGCTTTAAAGATGATAAAACAGCCTTTCTTTCTGTCTGTGCACCAAAACATTTCTGAATCCATTAAACATAAAGTATATATAAACTCATCAGAATAACGGGAATTATGGAGATCAAAGAGTACAACCAAACATGTTTGATTCCTTTTTATATTTACAGGTTAATTACTGTAATGTTTATGTTTTGTGATGTATATTAAGAGCTCTATAACCCACTGGAGACTTCCTCCAAAGAAAAGTCCATTTAAATTTAACAGGAGGCTCCACAGTCTGATTATTTCACCATCTTGCTTTATTGATGACGGTGATGTGGGAATCCATCCTATTCTGTATAGATTATACTGTTTTACTTCTTTAACACAGTACCACTGTGGGGTCATTCAATCAGGAAAGCTACATGGATCATACAGCTGTAATTGGATTACAAAGATCATTACATATTTTTAACAACAGACCCCAGTGGTCTCCCAGAAGTAAATAAAAGCTATCTTTATAAGCCCCAGTAGACCTCATCCAAATGCCAAATAACAGCAGTGCGACTACACATAAAAGAACAAGTAGCCATAAAAATATTAAGCTTCATAAATAAAATTACGTCTATGAGGAACATCAGCTAAGACTGCAGCTTATGTCTAAATCTTAAAAATACCAATTCCCGGTTGCTGAGGGTCATTTTAGCTGCATTGGTCTCCAAGACGGTAATACGCTGGCAGAAGCTCTACATAAATACGAACTATAGAGCAAATGACTTATTTTACCTGAGCAGCAGTTTAAAATCCAGAGATACTCACTTTACAACCATGTGTGTCCAAGAAAAGCATCAAATAACCTTTTGAAGGGAAAGCTGAACTTTTCAGATGTTGCATGCCGAACATGTAGTTATTGCTTGTTCGTGAAAGCATAAAGCAAACATATGACTTTAAATTGTTTTGTCTCATATTTTATTCATTCATGTATTAAAAACACTGTGCAGAAACCTCCCACAGTCAAAATTCAGTGGAAGTGAAAAACCGAATGTACCTTCATGTGTGGAAATGTCACCAAAGAGCAAGAAAAACTGGTTGAAAATGTGCAAGGAGAGAAGTGAAAATCAAAAACGAAGAGCCTCACTTTGACGGGAACTGACACGAGATTAAAATGTAAAATGTGGGCCTGAGTTCATTAGTTCTGACTTACTGTCTCTGCCAGCATATATCAAGTTGCTTTAGACTTATTACCATATGACTGATGCAGGCAAATCTCTATTAGCTTTCGAATCCATCTCAAATGTAGGTCAGCGGTGTTACAGATCTGTGTCACGTTTGAGGGGAAGACACTGAACTGGGGCACTTTTAAACTGTAGTGTGAGCACAGGCTGAATTCTAAATGAGACATCAAAACAGCATCGTGCCCTCCAGTCCTGTTCTGTCTGCCGCTCCGCTTTTACTCTTCCTGGCACTTTCCCAAACTGCCCCATAACACGGGCCTGTACATTCTACAAGACTGCTGCTGCTGTCACGGCAGGCTCAGGTTCATAGGTAAAATCCATAGAGAGGCTAAAAGGTGTCAGACATCCTAAATCTCAGAGGGGTTACCGGTGACATGCAAGGACGCAACGCAGGCTTTCAAGGTTTTTTACTGCTCAGACTTCTCCGCGGTGGTAGCTAATTAATTGCTCCATCCTGCAGCCACACACAGACTGTGAAACACACACCTAGAGTTTTACCTAGAGATACAGCTCATGATTTATGTAACAGTTCTTATTGTTGCCAGATATATTTAAACACATGTGCATGACTCATAGCGAAAACACATCCGACTGTTTCCCCTCTAGTTGAACTCGTATGTTTGAATAGGTGCATTTTTCCCGTCAGCAGAGGGAATGTGAACTAACCACAGCAGATTCACCTCTGTGACCTTGGTTTTATTTGTGGCTGCAGATTAAAGCGTGGGAAGAGGAAGAGATGGACAAGCCGATGGAAATCGATGAGATACGAGTGGACCCTTCCCCTTTTCAGCTGGTGGAGAGAACATCGTTACACAAGGTTGGTGGACAACATGTCTGTGTGAATCGCAGTTTGATAGTCTTTTTGACACCACCTTGTTTTCGACAAGGTGGTGGATGTTGTACATTAAAAATGTTATTAACGTTTGGAGAAAGACACGTTTTAAACTGCTAAAAAGTCATTCTACTGTTTAAGTCATCTCTATGTCTACCGGAGCAACACTTCTCGTGCTCCTGGTATTCTGCGATTGTTCAGTATAAATCCTTTTCTTACCTCAATGTGCGTCTGCGATCCATCCTGGAATTTCACTTTAAGGAAGAGAACAAAGTAGCAGGAGCCAAACATGAGCAAAGACTCAGTCGATTCTCTTTTCATTGCACCCTGAGTGAATGCTCAGTGGGTAATAGTTCAGGCAGTTTGCACTTTTTGTTCTCACCTGGACGTTTACGTGATAGCGCACAACCCATGACATTTCAAAACAGCAACTGTGTTACTGACTTGATTGTCAAACTCTGTGCTTGGACACTCCAAACTCTTTGCAGCCAGAGACAGAGCTTGCATGTCCAGCGATGACTGACTGATGATTTTTGATGTGTGCTCTCTAAAAAATGTTTGAAGTAGCTCAGAGATGAATAAGGGAAGGAGTTTGAAGTGGTGTTCAACAAAATGGGCAGAGTCATCGAAGGCAACAACAAAAGCCTTGTTTTTAAAAACATTGCTTGAAATCACCATCAGTGGTCATAAACGCCAAAGAATGACCACATGAAAGCAATGCTGAAGCAACACATGGTATTACAACAGTAATTCAATAAAACCCTTTTTTACTTCAAGGTGGTTTTAAAAACACTTCACTGTAATATAAACTTCCAAACACTTTCCATACATACTGACATCTCTTTATTAAATTAGAATAACAACATTGACCAACATAACTGTGATTATGATGTTTTTCTATTATCAAGGACTCGTCTGCTGCACTCTCAGCAGCAGTTTTCTTTTTCAGTGTCTTTGATGTTCCCAGTATTATAAGAAATATGAAATCAAATGACCATGTTGTCAACCTCCTCTGTTTTCCAGTCCTATGGCACCTCTATAAAACACTGAGATCCTTCTTACACATTCAGAAACATCATTTCATACACCATTTACTGCATTTTGTCTCAATGAATGCACATTTTTCTTTATAGGAGGTACTGTCTCCAAAGCTTGTTTCCTAAAACAACCATTTCATTGAAATACTGGGGAAAAGCTGTTACCCAGCATGTCAGGGTCCCCCAGAAATCTTGCTGTTAGACATCAGATGGCAAATTACTGCAGTACTAACTGTAACCTGTTAACAGTAAATATAATCTACAGTCATAAAGTAGCTGATTTATTGTTGTTTACTGTGAGTTTTGTGGCATTTAACTGTAGAAATTACAGAAAACTAACAAGAAAAATAATTTTTTTCTTAGAAACAGAGACAAAGTTGCTTTATTTTCATTTTATTAATCATTGTCACACAGTCTGCATTTATTCCAAAATGTACAGTTGCCTTGAAGAAGAGTTCATGTATTTTATCACATGCATTATGCAAGCAAATAACCATATAAATGTAATTCAGCCCCACGGGCAGTGGCAGTCTTTTGTTGGTGTTCTCACTCTCAGCTGCTAAGTTGTTTACTTCTGTTACATCTCATTCAGCTGAAGATGTGGATAACCTTGACAGGGGAGTAATGGCACATGAAAAACACTTAGTGAGGACGGTTTTTTATTCACACAATGTCGTCTGAATAAATAGAGATGGACACGACAGTTTTTCATTTTTGACCGAGAACAGAATCTTGTTTCCTGAGGTGCTGTTATATAAACCCAACATTTATATGTGGGAGCTGGAAAGTGTGCTTCCTGGTGCAAACACTGAAACGTGTTTCGTGCTCTAAATCTAAAAATGATTTAGAGCAGGCTGCCTCATCTTGTCAGCCTGCTCTAAATCATTTTTTGTTCCACTCTTGTCTCTTGTGTAATGTCGCAGTGAGGGGGTATCCCTAATGTGGTTATCTCAGTCATAAAAGCCCCGCCCACATGTTATTCGAACCTTCTGTTTGTTGGTGGCAGCCAATCGTTGGTAGGATCTTGGTATTATTAATATGTATAAATTAATTCTTATTTAAATAATACGGAGTTAGTAAGGTACCGTTCGATCTACGTCCCGACTCTCACCTATGGTCACGCGCTGTGGGTAGTGACCGGAAGGGCGAGATGCAAGAAGCAGAAATGGGCTTCCTCTGAAGGGTGGCTGGCCTCTCCCTTTAAAGATAGGGTGAGAAGTTCAGCAGGAGGGCCTCAGAGTAGAGCCGCTGCTCCTCCACATCGAAAGGAGCCAGTTGAGGAGGTTCAGGCATCTGAAAAGGACCCCTCCTGGTTGAGGTGTTCCAGGCATGTCCCACTGGGAGGAGGCCCCGGGGCGGACCCAGGACACGCTGGAGAGATTATATCTCTCGGCTGGCCTCGGAAGGCCTTGGTGTTCCCCCAGACAAGCTGGAGGTGGTGGCTGGGGAGAGGGAGGTCTGGGCTTCTCTGCTTGGGCTGCTGACCCCGCGACCCGGCTCCAGATAAGTGGAATAAGATAGATGGAGTTAGTGAGGTAGTGTGCAAGAGTCATGAGCTATTCCTCATTTTTTGCCAAGAAAATACAAACTTTTGTGAAACACGCACACATAAATGGAACTGCAGAATATGAGACCTGTTTCCAGTGATTTTCAGTGCAGTTCTTCTGTAATCTGGCAAACCTCAGCCTTTCCTCCCGGTTTCACTTCCTTAAGAATGGCTTCTTGACAGTAACCTTTCTCTGAGAACAGTGATGTGCCTCCACTGAACAGGATCAACTGAGCGGTCAGATGCATCCCTCCGACCCCGCATCAGGTCTTTGTTGGATTTTTTTCCCTCTTTCATAAGGACATGACTCAGATGTACTGATTATGTGCTGCAGATAGTTTTCTCATAGATTCAACTAAAGAAATAATGTTTTATATTAAAGATCTAAGTTGCCTCTTATGTGTGGTCACAACACTGCTTCATCCCTTGAGTTGGAATCTTTTTTTGTTTTTGCTTGAATGATTGGAGAGATGTCTCGGGACTTTTTACACAGCACTGTTAGTTTATGCTCAGTATTATCGTGTTTGCGCACAGCACACACAGCAAGTGTGACTTTGCTTTGTCTCCTGTTCTGACTTCTTCTATTCCCATTATAACTGTGAGTCTGTGAAGCGAAGTTTCGATACCTGTTGTTTAGGAAGCTCCAGGCAGTGAAGTGAAAATGATTTTCAAAAAAATAAAGCGATCCACCATGGAGCTGTCGCAGAGGGAGAAATCTATTCATAGAGACCAAAAGCCTGTTGTGTACCAAGCTGTAAACATGCTGTGTAATGCTATTAAGTCAGTCATTTTTAATTTTGTCGCTGTGCCAATCTGGAAATTGCCGGTCTGTTTTAGGTTTGGCAAGAATTTAGTCAAATGAGAAAATATCAGCCAGCCAAGCCTGAAACCACAGCTCTAAAAGCTCTTACACTGCCTAATCAATATGCACTCCATAATGAGTTACAGCAGTTTAATATAAGTTTAATATGAACTCTGGATATTCCCGTTTATCTTATTTGCTTTGATGGCTTTTCATTCAGTAATTTCCTGCAGCTTTTGCTGTATTTTTGTTTTGAACAGTGACGTTTTCATTTGTCTCGTTGCAGTTAAAATGTCCCCGTGCAGCTGAATGCAGCCCGAGCGTGTCCGAGCTGCCCCAGTCGGGGATTTACATAAAATCTCTTGTAAATCTATGTATTTCTAATCATTTCCTGCCTTGTACAATCTCTGTGACCTGCTCACGTCCTTATTATGATTTTCAGATGTTTGCAGCATAGTGAAGCGTGTAAACACCTTGTATCATTCCCGTTGGTTTCATTGTCATGGTAATATTTGTAATATTCTGCTTATTCATGTGCAAAAGGGGGCCTTGTGATGGAGGTGTGCCGATGCATACAAAGAGCTCATCCCAAAGTGTGACCTTGGCTGGGTCGTGAACACAATAGTTTGTGCTTACAAACACGCTCAAGGACTTTCTCTTCCTGTGGTTCACCTGGAGCCTCCAGACATTCTGTCTGCGTGACTTTGTGTTTGGAGCAGAAAGCAAAAAGTTTGTGTAATTTCACAAGTGACCTTTTCCCCCTGTCTCCACAGACCCACACCTTATTCTCACTGCTTGGCTTAAGTCATGCTTATGTGACCAGTACTGGCAAACTGGTGGGGGTGGTGGCACTAAAAGAGGTAAGAAACGTTACTTTATTTCACCCTGCAGTTCGTTTTTCTTCCAGAAATGAACATTTACATTCCTGTGTGTGCTGTGAACAGCAGTATTTTTAGGTTATTTGTCTAACAGACAGACAAACTAATGCACTTTTTATATCAAGCTGGCTTTATATACTTGCTAGGAAAAGAAGGTGAGAGCACATTACCCCGTTTTAAAGTCTCTACATTAATGTAAGGATGCACAGATAACTTTGTTTTCCATTTTTCTTTGTATATTTGAAAAAACTAAATACTGATCCAATATTTTATTTTTATTTTTATTTTTAAAAAAGCAATATTCTTCTTTGAAAAAGAGACTGGAAATCTGTCTTTTACAGTCTGGAGAAAAAAAGGCCCTCACAGCACTCTGTCAAATCCTAAGCACACCCTTAATGCTTTCATAGGATTTAAGAGTGTAAGTAGCAGTCAGGTGCTGCTAATTAAATGCTCTTTATTAATGGCAATGCTCAGAGAAGTTGCAAAGAACCCCAAGAGCTACATCTGAAACGCTACAGGCCTCCGTTAGCATTTTAAATGTTAAAGTTCATGACAGCACAACAAAGAGTTTCCAGAAAAAAAGCCTCTTCTCTCTACAAAGAACATGGCAGCACAGCGTAGGTTTCAAAGTCGCATTTCAACAACAACAGTGACTTGTGGAATAATGTCCTTTGGACAGACAAAACCAAAGTGGAGACATTTGGCCATAATGCACAGAGTCGTGTTTGGAGAGAGCGAAGCTTCATCATAAAGGACTCGGGTCAGGCTGTAGCGCTGCGGTGCAGGAGTGATGAGTCGGACTTGTTTTGCAGACACAGGACCCAGGACACTGCAGTCACTGAGTCGACCATGAACTCATCTGTACACCAAAGTAATCCAGAGTCAGACATGAGGCCAGCTGCCCAACAGCTAAAGCCCAAACTACCCACAGCAACCAATAATCAATCATTTTAATAACAATACATGAACACAGGATTGAAGCTAAACTGTAAACTGCAGATGTTCATGTAAAAGCTACAAGTAATCAGCCTCCAGTAAGCACACCGCTCCTTTTCACCAAATATTTTTTATGTTGTTGCTTCATTTTGATTTTGGTAGCTCTCTGCAGACTATTGCATTGGGAGTAAAAGACAAGTTAACCTGCTCTCGACGATAATCAAGCTATAAAAACGTAAAAGCCTTTCTTCCTTTCTTCAAATGCACTGGCTAAAAGCCAGACTTTAGAAAAGGTCTGCATCCTACAGAGCCAAATTAAAATGTGGGACGCAAGGTAAATATGCTGTGCAGTCCCAGATGAGCAGGAACATCTGGTCACCCTATAAGCAGTAAGTGTTGTAGTTAATCACAGAGTAAGAGTGTTTGTGCGCTCTGTTGGAGTCACGTTAAGTAGCAATAGAGACCTTTAAAAATTAGCTTAATCGTGCCTTTTATTAAATGCTAGAAAGGTTGGTTTATTGTTTATAAAGATGCATGAGATAGAGCTTCATCTAATGAATAAATAGCTCAGACCAAACGGGCATAAAGAGTAAGCGTTGAACTGGATTAAAATTAACATCCTCCTCCTTTTATATAATCAGGGATTAAATGGTATTCCCCTTAAAATGAGTGCAAATGAACACATTTGTACTTGTATGAGGCGTTGCTGAAGGCAAATAAAAAAGGTTGGGCACTGCTGGTCTGGATCTCAGCAGCACAGCCACAGCATGGCTAAAGCAGCCAGACCACAACCAGCTAATGGAAAAACTCTGAAACTATCTGAAGGTCTCCAGAACTGAAACCTAAGCATTAAATGAAATTAACTTTCCTGATCCAAGTCCAAAAAAAGCTCCTTTTTTAATACACTCAACCTTTGGAAGTCTTCTCTTGTTTGTCTTTAATTTGGAGGAAAAAATCCAATTTGTTTTTGCTCCTAATTTCCTTGGAGTCTCGTAAAGCTTTTTGAATTATGTATGAGTACTTTGTGAGCATAATCAATAAGCTCTCTGTAAGTTTTGGGCTCCTGTCTTTATCCATAATGGTCTCTGACTCATGCTCCTGTGTCGCCTCATTTTCTTTAACTTTTCTTTCCTCCATGTGTGTAATTGCTCACCACTGACTCCGTCTAATCCCTGCTTGCTTTCCTTCATTTCATCTTTACATTTTCACCATTCATGTATGAATTCCGCTCATTTCTTCTTGTTTTTAATTCTTCCCCTCACTCTTCAAACCCTGCCTCTCCTTCTTACTCTTCTTCTTCTTCCTCTTTCTCTTCCTTTTTCTCTTCTTCTTCTTTCTCTTCTTCTTCTTTCTCTTCCTTTTTCTCTTCTTCTTCTTCCTCCTCCAGCTCCAAAAGGCCATCGAGGGCTCCACACGCTCTGGTGTCCGGCTCCGCCCTCCTCTGGCCAGTTTTCGTGATATCAGCAACCACAACTCGGTCTCTAAACCTCCACCTCCATCTCCCAACGCCCCTTCCTCTCCTCCCTCACCTGAAATTGTTGCTCAGGCTCCCCCCCTCTCTCCCCCCTCCCCCTCTCAACACCACCACCATCACAGCCATGAGAATGAAACAGAGGTGTTGATCGAGGGTGTGCCGAGGGAGGTGGAGGAGAGCACCAGTAGCGCTTCGGGGAGCGGCAGCAGCACGGTGGCCTGCAGCTCGGCCAGCAGGAGCTGCAGCTGCAACAGCAACCTCACCCTCCCTCCTTCTTCTACTCCTCCCCCAGTCCCCTCTTTCTCCACTCCTCCTCCCTCTCCTCTTCTCTCCTCCATCCGCCTCTCCACCCTACAGAGACTCTTTGAGGAAGAGGAAGACAGTGATGATGAGCCTATGGTTTAGCTTACACAAGAGTGATGCTTTTTTTTTTTATAATGGAAAACTTTTATAATAGTTTGAGTTTATTTCTTCTGTTCTTAATACATTTCTCCGGTCTTTGCACTTCCATTTACCTCTTTTTATGTTACTGGTACAGCTTCCACACACTGGTTTCACAGACCATCACCTGTTTGGTGCAAAAAACACCTTAAACTGCAATATTCATCTAGTTCCTTTGTATCAGGTGCGATTAGAAAGTTCGTGGTCTCCGCCCACAAAAGAAAAAAACAAACACTGACTTAAATATGGCTGATCTTTCCTACAAGATCAGGTCACTGTGCACTTCTGAACCTCCAGTGTGCCTGTGCTCTGTCTGGAAAGCCCCCTGGAAGCTGTGGTACGACTGCACATACACGTTTGTAATTTCAAAATGCATGTGAAGAGCGCTCATCCCCTTCTCTGTCACAATGACCCAACTTTAATATAAGGATCATCACTGGTGATAACGACCTGTTCATTTTTATACAGAGGTCTATTTTTTCTTCAGTTTAAATCAAATGCTCCCTTTACCAGTAAAGCATGGCTGAGGCTTCTCTTTGTCCCAGTCTGCACCAGCATCCTGCAGTAACATCCAGTTACAGCAGGCCTGTGGGGATAGTTTGCTTCCCTTGTGAGACGAGCTTTATGGTCACAAACACCCCCTAGTTGTTCTTGTGGGGACCTGGATTTTGGTTCCCACAAGTATTGTAAACTTCCCACAAAGATATGAATACATGCTCACTCACACATGCACAGACCTCTCCAAGTGAAAAAAAGTTAAATGTAAGATGCTTATTATTTTAAAGAATAACTCTGGTTAATAATCGAGAATATAACATTGACCAAAATGACTGTGATTGTAATTTTTGCTGTAATAAAACAGGAGCTCCACACGGCGATCTAAAAACAAGCAAACGGTGGATGTGTGTCCAGAGATGTAAAGTGAGGCGACACTGAAGCTGAAATCAACCAAATTAAAGTCGCGTATGTTGTTTTCTTTTTGTGGGCGGATTCGTTGAGCGCTCTGATTGCCACGCGTAAGCTCTGAAGCTCTGTATGTCTGTAACGTTTGCGCGTTTTGTTTTACTTTCTGCTCATTTTCCTTCTCTTGTTGTTTCACACTTTGATTTTCATGGGTTAAATTGTAGATGCTGCCAAATCCACAAAGTCAGGTATCTAACTGTGATATGCTCTTTTTGAATATTTGATAATGACGGTTTTAGCACTCTTAAGCTTATTTCTGAGATCCAGTAATATCACTGGTTAAGGTCAAATAACCCACCTGTTCAGCTGCTAGAGATGTTGAATGGCCCTGTGATGAACTGGTAACTGTCCATAGGCTCCAGCCCTTCCACTAACCTAAACTGGAGAAGCGGTTAATAAAATGGATGGATGGACATTACTGAGGAGTAGATTGATAAAACACTGCTACCATTTCTACTGTCTGAATTCAGACTGCGATTGATTAACTGTGCCTCTGTCACAGCTGTTTCCAACACCACACACTTTACTGTATGTTCTGTGGGGTTATTTTGACTGTAACGCTCGCTGCTCAGCTGAATCCGAATAATCAATCAAAAGCTTTGCTTCCCAAACAAGAGGTGAACCCGGTGAACTGCCGCACAGTTGTCCTGTGTTAGCCAATCGCTTAAGTCTTAAAAAAGGTAGGATTTTATCAGATGAGAGCAGAGGGTATTGATTTATTGTAACTGGCAACGAACCGTGTGGGTAGCAGAAAACTAATGGAGCTGCTCAGTCCACTGTGGAAGATTGGCCAAAGCCCCACAACGACCTCCAAATTGTGTGGCGACCTTGTGGATGCAGCCTCGGAGCTCATCTCATCACAGTTAAGTTGATAGATGGTGCGGCTGGAGGCGGCTGACGACAGCAAAACCTCGCCGTGCAGATCCTCAAGATTCTCCTTTTCTCCTCAAAAAGGAAGCCTTGCAGATTTAACCCTAATCACTTTAATAATTCTAAATGGGATTATCAGAAAAATCTACTGAAGCTGTTCATTCTAACGTGATGATAGCCAAGGTTCTCTGACAGGGAAGGAGACATGTACAGATGTGTTGCCAGAGAAACGTTTCCCAGTTAATGCTGTTAAAGATGCTAAAAATAGCTTCTTTTTTAAAGCTGTTGTGATGGTTATTATAAGAAGCAAAGCTGCTCATGTAACATTTTCAAAGAATAAAAGTCAAGAAATTTAATGACTATTTAACCTTAATGTCTTCCTGAGCTTTTGCCTTCTAGGCAGCTGCCTCTGTAGATGGTTCAGGTGTCTGGTTCATATATAAGCTTCAGTTAATCACATACAACTGAAAACAGGCCTGGCTTCCTCTATTTTACTATTTATCAGAATTATTCCTCAGATTAACCTTCAGGGTTGCTTAATACAAGCAGCATCTGGTACCTCCACGTCAGAAATGCGATGCTTCAACTGTTTTGTGGTTTCAACACAACAGCAGGAACAAAAACCAAACGCTTTGCAAAAACAGGCTTTGAGCTGTGAAGTTTGGAGTTGGGTGAAAATCACAATCTCAGTGTCCGTGGTCTGTCAGCATCAGTGTATTAAAAAATAAAGAAGAATCAGGCAGTATGTATCAGTGGGCTTCCACCAGGTCTGCTGGAGGGATAACACAGCACTGTCCTCCCACAGTACCACATACTGTGTGTCACAGTCATGCTCACCTCTCAAACAGACTGCAGACACTCTGCTGCTGCTGCAAGAGAAGAAAAGGGGATGACTTAGAGTGAAGAGGAAAAGAGTTAGATGACAACACTCGTCTGGTGGTTATATCTGTCTTATTTTTACAGTTGGTAAAACATCTCGATGCTTCAGGTCAAGAGAGGAGAGGGTGGGGATGTTTGATGGGGTAAGAGGTGTGACGTGATAGTCAAATGGTTTGGCTTCGTGTGGAGTTTTTGAACATGATCTTTGGTTATTTTTTTGACAGCACTATTGTCTGTTGACTAAGCCTAAGTGGAAATGTGGACCCTCAGGTATATAGCAGGGGATATCCAAGCTAAGATTTTATGAATACATTACTTTAGTATAGTTTATTTTTAAACAAATGACTAAAAAGCTAAAAGAAAAACCCAAATCTAACTCGAACATGATTGCTAGAAGCACTCGACTACATGCGTCTGTTACCTACAGATTCATCTGCAGATATCTTTATCTGTTTGTTGAGATTGTTTGCTAATGTCAAACACAGCACATAATGGGACTTCATAACCAAACATGTAAAATAAATGGTCTCTAAATGACCAGATTTTCTCCCCGTCATGAACAAAGGGTGGGAACCTCAGCCATTGCATCCATGCACCGTTTCTCCATTTCTCCTTCATCTCTCTCTTATACGGTCTTCTTATTAACTCCTGGTATCAGTTTCTCAGGTGTTCCCTTAAAAGTCTTTAAACCTTCAGATTTGACAAAACATTTCTTTATGTCTGTTTCTTGGGTGTGGAGGGACATCGGTGCAGGTCTCAGTGTTTATTTGTGGTTGTGGTTAATGTAGTATTTATTTATTTCTGTTTTAGTCATTATCTTCAACTTTATAAACTGTGAACAACTTAGCTAAATAAAGTTTTATTTGAATGCTTTACTGTGTTTGAATTTGGTTTATTTATCCAGGTCAGGCTTGTTGTAAAGGCAACAAACCCGACATGTTGCTAAGAAAGGTCTGAAGGCAAAAGTGGGGCCACCTTGGTTCTAGCAAGGTGTACTTAATAAAGTGGCCAGCTAGCAGTTGTAGCTTATCTAAAGCATCGATAGATTGGCAGACAGGCTGTGGTGCTAGTAATTACAGGATCCAGTGTAGTGAAGTGACTGCCGTCTGTTTCATCATTGTTTTATTTCCATGTCTGCATAAAATGAAATCCTTTCTGTGAATTACTTTTTGTGATGGAGATGTTTTTAAGTGTCTTATTATCATTAAAAAGTTGAAATGACAGGTAAAATTACGCTACGACAGGATCTTTACGACCTTGTCTGTCACCATGACAGACGAGAAAGTCGAATGCGACCTCTGCCCGGCACCATCGCTGCTTGCAGCTAAATTATTAAACTTTACTTTATTCTGACAAGATGACAGGATTTTATTTTTTCTACTTTAATTGCTTTTTATCTCGTGTTATTTGCAAAGAGTAAGTGTCACTTTGATACGTGACTTTGAAAGAATTTTTTAGGCTTTCAATTAGTCTTCTTTGGAAGATGCCTGACTCATTTTAGAAGAAACCTTTTCTGGGTGGCGTGGACTGTGCAGAAATTATTTTGAAAGACCGAGTAATTATTCAGCACGACGGACACCTCGTGCAGTTAAATCTGACAAAAACTCTATATTAGGTTTCAAGCTTTAATAACCTTGTGGCCCTCGTTTCTTTGTCAGTCAGGTGACACCCTTTCGAGCGTGCAACCATTTGGGCGTTTTGGGCGCTAGAACGATTTACAGGATGAGATCTCAAAGAGGACAAACAGAGGACAGATGATTATCAGAGCAATTAGGGGCATTAGGGTCTTAATCACAGGAGGGTAAGACTGAATCGTTCTCAGTAGCTCTGTCTCAAAGAGACGATGTGAAAAAATAACGCATAATTACATTGATTTGCATTGATTTTATCAGTGGCAGCTGGTCCATGGAGGCAGAGGAGGTTGTTCCTCTTTGGGGGGTTTTGAAATAAAGATGAGGTCAATGCAAGAGGGGAAAAGGATTGAAATAAATCCTTCCCAAAACTCAGCATCATTTATAAAATACATTTTGTCTCTTTCATGCTGACCCGCCCCAACAACCATTCGCACTCACATCACATCCACACCTATAAGCAATATAAATTAATAATTTAATCTAATCCCCACTAACTAAATGTCCTTGGACTGTGGGAGGAAGCCAGAGGAAACATGCAAACCCCACACACAAACACCCCGGCTGTGGGGGAATCAAACTCTGGACCCTCACGCTGTGAAGCAACTGTGCTAACCACCGTGCTGACCAATGTTTCTCAGGTAATGTCTTGATGCATGCTCAATCATCCAGGTAAGTAAATCCCAAAACATTGATTCTGTTCATCTGGACATTTTCAGTGGGAGAAACGTTTCCTCATTCATCCAACTGACTTCTTCAGTCTCAGCTGACTGCAGGTTTCCCCAATCTTATAAACGGTACATTTGTACAAACACTGAATGAATTCAGTTTGCTAGGTTTCTCAAGTAACATTTAAGATTCATCATGAGCTGATGATTCATCTGTTGTGAAATTAAACCCTCAGAACGCCTCCCAAAAAGCTTAAAATGATAAAAGGACTTGAACATACAAGGACACTCTTCTACCTCCCAACGATAATGGAGTCCTCACATGAAGGAGGCTGTTGATTGTGATCAGAGCAGCTGAAGTGTTTTTATGGAACTGCTGGCGACAAGAACACTGCCACAGGTCAGTAAAGAAACCGCACACTGCTGCTTGAAACACAGCAAGATATTCAAGTATTCAGGCCTTTGCTTTCTCTGACTTGCTTAATATATAATGGGCTCATATAAAAGCTCATTTAAGACAACCTATTTAAACTACCTTACTTTGTAACACATTTCTAACCCAACCTGATGCCTATTCTTTTTTGTACTGGCGATCTTGCTGCTATATCTCCCCAGTAGGGCCAAAAAATCAAATGCTTTGCATTAATGTAAAACTGTCTTTAAAAGCTGCTGTTAAACACCTGTAATTACATGTTTGTTACAGGTATAAAGAGGATGCAGTGCCAAGTTTGAGACGAAAAGGCATAGACACAGATTTTTGCAGCTGACCTTATTGCATATGTATTTATAAGAGCACAAATATTTCAGAGGCGAGAATTCAATGAAGTTAGATGCATTTGATTTTTGGAATATTATTTAATGGCAAAAAGGCACTTATTTTCTTATTTTGTGCCAGATGTGTGTGTGATAGGTGCTGCTAAGAGTTCAGTTGGAGTGATAGTGGCAGATGTTGGAAACACGTTTTTTGGGATGGCCTAATGCACGGGGCTGTAGACGAGTTAATTTTTAAAGTGAGCAAAGCATTTTGCAGTGTTTCAAGTTTTAGTGTCTTGTGAATTGCAAATAAAGAAAACCGCAGAAAGCACAAAAGCTTTTGTGCATCTTTATTCAGCACAAATCACATTTATGCATTTTGCTCTGTATGCCGTATTAGATCTATTACATAACTTATAGAGAAGTCTGGCAAAATACGGCTAATAATGTGACTCAGAGTTGAATTGTTGAGTTGAGTCTTGGCATATGTTGTGTAGCCATCACTGAATTTAATGGGGATTTTGTAAAAAGAGGTTTGTTTATTGCCCTCAGGTAGCTGAGTCAGATTCTTTTCTCTGACTTTTAATAGCTGCAACATCACATGGCATGCAGGGAAAAAAATGTCTGTATTTAACGCACATGGAACAAAAGGAGTAATTTATTAATTCCTGGATTAGTCAGGATCATGGGGTAATTTCTGCACTGTGTTATTCCTCTACACATCCTATAGCCCGGCTGTTATACACAGACTTATACACAGTCCAAAGACACCCCTAATACTAGAACATATCAATTCACCTTCCCCTCCTGCTCCCACATTACTTCATTTGCTGCTTCTGGAGAGAAACACATGCGTAAAGCTTGTGCTCGTTCACTATCACTTCCTAATGGATCACCTGCAAACATCCCTTATGATCACTGAGACGTCACTTTTATTTGTCCCGCCTAGTAACTCTGGCCAAATATAAATTCCTGCACATGGCAAAAATAAAGGAGTCCCTATTGAATCATCAAAAATACTTTCTACATGATAACTTTACAAGTGTAACTGTGGTTGTGGTAATCAAATGTAACTGCATTACTGGTAGATACAATAAATGGCAGTTAAAGGAAGAGTTATAGGAAGGTGTTTTACTACAATAAAAGCCATAAAATGAAACTAAAAACTAAGACATAATTAAAATGTTTCAACAATGTTTAGCTCCAGAGTGCAGCACTCACAGTCAAAGACAGACTCTCAAAGGAGATTCTGTATTTCAGTTAGTGATTATTTATTTGACAGTGAGTTGATTCCTTGTGATATTCCAGAGTCTGTTTTTACTTCAGGGTTTTCTAGTAATGTCCTCTTCTAGTTTGGGTTCATGCGTTCATTGTTACTCCAGTGTGTTGAGCTTTATTTTGACCTTTTTTTAATTTGAAGTCTGTTTTCGTGGCTTCCTGATTCCTGATTAGATGGTTGCTGCTCTAGCGTTAGTTTTGAATTCTTCATCTGTCTTAAGCGTCAGCTCCTAGTTTGAGTTGGATGTTTGTGTGTTTGGTTCCCTTGGTGTTCTCGTGTTTGATCCTCCTCATGTCTCATTTTGTGGTTAATTGTCTTTCATGCGTTGGGTAAGCAGCCGATAAATGGCTCAATTTTCCATCATGTCTGCCTTCGTGTCCTGCATAAACCTTGACAGCTCTCCCCTGTTTAGAAAGTTGCTCATTAAGGCAAAGAGGTAACACATTATCTTAATGAAGGCATCACAGGAGAAAAAACGTTTTTGGCACAGAACAGCACAGAGAGGAATTTGTTTCCCAGAATATATATTTTACACACAAACGAAGCTACATTCATACAAACATACATACAGTGTTACATTCATACAAATACATATCGGTTTATTTGATTTTTTTCCTTTTATTATAAAAAGCAATTTGATATATTATTACTTTGTATTACTGTGTTATACTGTTAGGGCTAGTTCACTGTTAAAAAGCATGCACGTTCTTTTGGTTGTGTCCAGAGCAAGTGTTTGCAAATAACTCCAAGTGCATGCCTCAGGTTGCCATGAGTTCTAGATTACGCCGTCTTTACCTCATCAAGACATCTCAGCCGTCAGTCAAACCTAAACACATTAATTAGCCAATCAAGCTGCTCTCTGACCAGGTATTTCTGGCCTTGAGAGGGGTTTTTATTTTTGCATACAAAAGCCTACTTCTGATGCTGAAAGCATCTTGAAACAACCACTCTGAATTATTTGCAAACCCTGATTGTGCCCATGTTTGTTGTATTGCGCTGAATTTATAAATAGGCCCTTAACTTTTTTCTTCTTATCCTTTCTTTTAATTTTCCCCATCCCTGTGTTGCCAGTTTGGCTTTCAGTCCTGGTTCTTTGTTCCAGTCAGTCCAAACTGTTTATTGAATACATCTTTATTCTCAAACAGCTCGTTTCAGCAGTCACTGAATTCAAGTCTCTCTTCTGTCTTAAATTAAAGTTAATTAGTCTCATATATGTGATATTCCAGATTTCCCATACTAGACTGGTGGTAGGGGTGTCTCCTTGGCCATAGTGTACATTACATCCCACATTCTCATCGAAAAAAAAGTCGCATTTCCTCGGCCTCAAAGTAGGTAAATATTTGGGAGAGGGAGGGGTTGGGATAATAGCTTGACTGATTATTGAAGTATTAATTTCCAGTTTTTGACAGTGTTTCGTCCAAATGACTCAGTTGGTTGCAACAACAACAATGGAGCCCTCGTCTGCCTCTTCATCTTTCTCTTCCAATGACTGGACGACGCAGGGCGTGACGTCAAAGGGTATCCTCTCTGCGACGGGTTCGGTGGTCTGTGCTGGTAGTCCTGGGCTTGAACCTCTGGTCGAAGGGGCATCTTCCCTCAGCGGGGAGGGCGTCAAAGAGCACGGCTCTGGCTCCAAAGTTAATGTTACCTCTTCTACCTGTGAAGGCAGGAAGTAGAGATTTTTAAGGACATTTGTTCTGTATCGCAGGTGAGTGAAGCTCTGTTATTCCTTCTTTAAAGGTGCTTACATGTTGTTCTTACAGATAAGAGCCAATTTTTGAAATAATTGTTCTCTCTAAAATCTTAGTCATGTGTCTGATTTGGGGCAGTAGAACCAATAGATGCCACCATCCCTTCACCCAAGGGTTTGTCAAGTGGCATTACGCAGGCTTCATTTAGGCATCATGAAGTTTTGGAACCATGGGTGGTTATAATTAGTCAAGCGCTTAGTTATAAATATTTATAAGCAAAAGATTTGACTTTCACTCACCAAAACTACAGCACAGATTTCTAAAACAGTCACTTTTCATGCTGAACTGTGCAAGCAATACAATTGTCATATAATTTCATTAATAAAAAAAACACAACAAACATGGTCAAGAAGTTCAGTTTGGTGACTCAGATAATCTGAAATAATAATAATAATAGTTATGAAAGATGAAATTGTTTATGTAGACCAAAACTGTTTGTTTTTTTTATTGTGCACAGGAGTCTATGGAAATTTGACAAAACTGCAGTTCATCACATGGCCACTTGACTCAATCCCCATAGGTTTCCATATTAAATATTCAGCTTTTTAGCATAAAAATGTAAAACACAGTTTTGGTCTCCATGGATACTTTCCTGTTTGAAACAGCTGGGTTATATTTTTTTAAATAAATTGTCTCTTGGAGATTGTCAAAGCTTGGCTGCTTTGTTTCCAGGCGGCTGGTAGGTGTGTCTGTGTGATGCAACACGCAGTTTAAGACTGCAGCTTGTTAACTAGTTGATAACCTAGTACTCCACCATGACCACAAATATTAAAAAAAGGTATGGGCGGCTCTTTTATGTACAATATTACTGTTTTAAAATGGGATTGACTTACCTTTACACCCAAGCGGCAGTTTTTAATAATAACGTTTTCCTGATTCTTCAGCTTTTTTAGTACAGTGTATTGTTTCTAACTCACCTTTGTTAGCTCCTCCTCTTCCTCTTCACGCTGTTCAGGGAAGTCTTCAGACTCGGGCTCGGGCTCTTCTCCGACCGTCTCCACCACGCCTCCGACCATGTCAGCCATCTGTGCATTCAAGTGTCCAACGATCTCCACCTGCAACCAGTTAAATTTGACTGAAGCGCTTGTTGAACGGAATTTAAACTGGAAAGGGATTCAACAGGTTAGTGGCATTTTCACACGTAATTTAAACTGACATCCGTCCTTCACTTGGGCTCCATAAGTCCCTGATAACAGGTAAAATAAAAAGACAAATAAAACAGAAGACGAACAGGAGATGGCCCGACCCAGCATGGTTTTCATCTGCAGGGGGTCGAAGCGAAAGAACATACACTTTAGCTGGGTGCAACAGATACAGATGCTGATTCCAAACGCTGAAACTTGCGGACCTTGTGGCATGCCACTCTGACGACCAGGCTGATTTACACATCTCTTTCAAAACTCATCAAATCCACTTCAGGCAGTCATGCTGAGTGCTCCATGCAGACCTCCAGCCTGTCTCCTACCTTGCAGACTTTCCTGGCAGTTCATCTTTCACTGCTCTACAGATGTGTGCTAAATAGGCCTGCTGATATAAACAAAGCCAGATTCATAAAACAAAGAATTAGCAGAGAAAACACAAAAATATATCAGCATTCAACCTTTATCTTTAATCGAGACCAAACATCATAAACCGTAGCTTCCAGCAGAAACTAGACATGCTGTCACGGCTATGATGACTGCATTGTCTCAGTCACTCTGTAATAGTGACAGGAGACAGAGTCCTATCCTTGCAACTGCATATATAGTCACGCACCCTTGTGTCCTTGCAAACTGTCATAGCCGCTCTGTCAGAACATATTAAACCACCATCGAGTCTGCAAGCTCTGTAATCCGAGCATTTGGATTCAGCAGGCGAGCGCCTACCTGATGTGCCTCAACCTGTGCTGCTCCCCACAGGTCAGCTAGCCGAGGGTGAGTGGGTGGACCGAGGCTGTGGATGGTGCTATTGGGCGTGGCTTGGAGTGAATGGGAGGCACTGTGTAGCCTGTGCTCCATAGACTGTAAAGGGAAGCAAGAATAAAAATAGAATATTCAGGATTTGGCCGTTAATATGTAACCCCGATCAACAATCTCTTGGCTTGTGGCCGCTTATTTTTTAAACTTTTGTTTTTCTCTGGAACAATAAAATTGTCTCCCACTAGGAATCTAAAAACACCCACAACCAACTGCTCCTGACATTTGAATAATGGACGGCGTAGTGCTGTAACGTGCACATATCGCCAAACAAAAGACGAGGCCGCTTTTTTCTTCCAACATTTATCCCAAGGGCTTTTGCAGGAGGTGGAGGACACATACTCTAGTATTTTTTTTCCACTCTCTTCTAGTTTGGCTTCTACTTTTAAAATCTCTCTAAATTATGAGGTTGCTGCAGGGAACGGTGCGGAAATGTCTTGACTGGAAGATTTTATTCTAAATGTAACACGTTCAATAGTCTCCTTCTCCGGGGAAGGCATATAATACACACGGTAAAGCTAACAAGCTCATTTCCATTGTGGTCTCGGATCAGTACACCTTTTCTAAGACACAGTCCCTGACCTTTTCAAGTATGTATTTCATAACTCGCAGTTATTTAATGAGCTCTGAGAATGCACCCAATGCAAGAGCAGCCAACAAAGTCTCGGGGTGTCACAGTTCACCGTGACTCATTTCGTTTGCAGAAAACCTTCCAGCAGACTGAGCTGAAAGTCAGCAGCTGATTTCAACAATATTCAAACTGTCTGCACAAAATGAACCCATAAGAAACTTAAACAAGGTCAGCAAGCGCACATGTTGTGGGAGCAGAGACATGTGGTGTATAGATTTAATAGGACAGCAGACCTAAGGCTGTGTGCATGCATGATTTATACTGGACTGTGTTAGTGTAACAGTTATCTATGAAGGTGCTTTGAATCCGCTGAGTGGTATTTGTGTTTTCCATTTTAAGAAGCTGCTGCCATCAACACTGCAAAATCTCACCAAACAAGGTGGAAACCTTTCCTTCATGTTCAGAAAGTTAAAGTTCAGCCATCATGGACCTTTCCCCCTAAAGCAGAGGTGTCCAACATAAGGCCCGGGGACCAGAACCAGGTTTAAATCCAGCCCACTGGACATCTTTGGAAAATGTAAAGGAGGGCTGTATTTTTATCAGTTTTACAGCTTCACCTTCTGATAAAGACCTCCCCCATGGCCTTTTCTACTACACCAAAGTAAAAAGTAAAATATAACAGAAATTTCTATATTATAGAAATTATAATAATTATTATATTTTTTATTTTGATTCATTAATTATGAATTATTAATTTAAGTGTGACTGTAGGAGAGTCTGAGTAAAGGCTATAACCCTTTCTGTAATTTTCCACATTTGTTTATTTGTCCTGACTATAATTCACTTCTTTCACTTCTCTTTCTTATATCAAATGGATTGAATGTGTAGTTTAAGATCCTTACACAGACAGAAAAGAATGATTTGGTTCGGCCCACTTAAGATGTAAGTGGGGTGTACGTGCCCCATGATGTAAAAAGAGTTTGATATAAGTATACACAAAGGACAAATTCAGCCTCTAGGTCTGAAAAGTAATCAGAACCTACATCCTTTCTAATGGCCACCAGGGGGCGACCTCTCTAAGTCTGTCTGTAAATAAGTCTTTGGGAAAACGTCTGTACTTGTCGCTTCATGTGTGACCTCAATAGATGTTTTTTGGATGGGTTTATGTTATGAATTACTACTTTTAAATCTTATTTAATATAACATGTAATTATTTTGTTATGTTATAAACTAGGGTACAAGCAAAGACGTGGCTAACTTGTGATTTACGAGTTATTACCGTATGAGCATTAAATATCCTCCGTTTGTTGTTTTTGTCTGTCCCACACCTTTGTTAAATCTATTTTCGGAAATCCAAGCTGGTGATGATCCTAACACTAAGCTTCAGGCTTCAATCAGCACTGCAGAAACCAGTTGGTGAATAAACAGTGGATACATCCATTTTTTTGATAGAAATTTATCCCTAGTGCCGACATGTCTGATGCATCTGCTGCTGTGTTTGTATGAAAAACAGTGCAAGGCTTTACAAAAATCACTTTCACAGACCTGCTGCTGTTGTTGGTACTGCAGAAACTGTTGCTGCTGGTAGTGATGAAGCTGTTGGAGATGTTGGAGTTGACTCTGCTGCTGCAGGGCGAGTTGAACCTGGTGCTGCTGAATGTAACTTCCTACTGTCCCCTCGTACCCCTCACCAGGTGTGCCTCCTGCTCCATTGCTGCCACCTGCAACAACCACAAGACACCCAGTGTGCAGTGCTCAGTGACACAGTCTGGTGCTTAAAGCCTGTAAGAGAGGATGATAAATCATCACCGGCAGCCATGATGTAGGAGCCTGCAGCAGGCGATGCCACGCCCGAGGGCTGGCTGGTGATTGGGTCCCAGGCGTCAGAAGACGACAGGCAGTACAGGCCCTGCGAGACGTAGGTGTGAGGCCAGACATCCGCAGAGGAGTGATGGAGCACCTGGTCTGTACAGGGAAGCACAGACAGATGGTAGGCGTTGTAGAGGAAAACACAGACAGAGAAGACGCTGCTAGGGTGGAGAGGCAGGGGTAAACCAAGTCATGGGCAGAGAAAAATCAAGACGTAGCTGGAGGAGCGGAGCTGGAACGTTCTGTAATTTGTCTTTTTAGTTTGCAAAAGTTTAGGAGTTGGATTAATATGGAAACTTCAATCAGTTTAGATTCAGAGGTTTTACCAAACTATTAACTGTCGCATACTTTTTGGATAAAATGTTACCTATTCTGAGATTTGAAAGCCACAAAAATTAAAAATACCCTAAATTACATTATTTTAGAATAAAAAACAAACAAATTCAGATCTTTCATTTCTCTGAGCTAACTGACATTAAACTGAGATTAAAGCACCTGAGCTGGCGTTTCTACCATAGCTTTGAATTGATTTGATATACCTTTATTTCATAAATGCACAGAGAAAGTTGCAATAAGCAAGCAGCATGCTCTGAGTGCTAATTACAGCTTAATTATTATCCATGATTACAAACCGTAGTTATGAGGATTTTTTTGTGTGGATGTGTTTAAAAGCTGTTATGGTTATAAGTGGTTATATAATAAATCCTAACAGTCCCAGAATGTTTTTGCTACTTTCACTTTCAATAAAATATAATCATTATAATTATTAATCATATTATAATTTTGGCTGTTATGTTTTCATGTCTTAGATATACTGGGTCTGGTATCGTTTTAAAACCTAATAATTACTCTCCCTGCATTCTGAAACGTTTATTAATGATTAATCATCCATTTATTAAAGTCAGACAGGAGAAAAAGATCTGTAGTTCAGAATTTGTTGCAGATACATTTGGTCAAAATTCACCCAAACTGTACTGTAAAGGTAAACAATGAAATGTTCTTCTTAAACATATGATGGAAATCAACAGACGACTGTTTCTCTTCACTTTGTGACAAACAAAGCACGAAAAAATACTTTTGATAACTCCGCAGCAATATCAGAACCACGCTGTTTTAACTAATTGCAAACCTTGTGATCTCTTATGGAAACTATTTCCTTTCTAATGAACTAAATCTAAATCAGAAGAAATGTGCAGCAATCTAATATTACACCTCAGCCATTAGTGTTTATCTAGGCTGATATAAAACAGGGTTAAACCTGACCTCAGCCAAAAGAAACATATGGTAATAACTTTAATAGCAGTATGATTAGCTTATCTACAGAGCAGAGCCATGGAGGGATGCAGCGCTGTGGAGGAGAAACATGCCCTCAGTCCTAATGTGGATATGAAGTAGCTGTGTAACCGTTGTTGTGTGTGTATCCCTTGCACGTGTGTGTATGTTGATGTTGCATGCTAGATAAAGCACTGAGCAGAGCCCATATGGTGGTGTTAATGAGAGCGGGGCTAAGTCCTTGTGCTAACCTACAGGCTCCCTCAGGGCTTGGACAGTGCTCTGCTTTACTAAACACCAGTCAGAACAAACATTTACCTGCACAGAGAGTTTACAGTGTTACTCTGTATGCAGGTAAATGTTAAAGCATACACATTAGTTTTACTTTATCTTAGAATGGGAAGAAAAATATGGGAGTATTTCTTGTTTTGCTTTGATTTTTATGAGGATACACAGCCATTCCTGTGAGGCCAGCTTTGTTTGAAACAAATATCTTATCACCCGAGGCTCAAATCAGGATATGAGTTTGCCAACATTTTTCTTTAATAAAACCTTGTGCAAAATTTAAATCGTCTCAACTTTCATCCAGTCTGTTTCTGCCTTTGATGCACGCAGCTCTTTGGGCTACAGACATGAAGCCCTAACAGAATGTGCTCTGGTATTTCAGCACTGGCAGGCTGTCATCTGAATTTGTCATTTGGAAGTTATTGAGTAAGTGCCCGGTCAGAGTGAAAGGCAGACATGTGCAGCTGTGAGCCTGCCCTCCAAAAGTCCTTTACCGCTGCTTTGGAGACAAACTGACAGGACTCTTTTTTTTTTTTTTTTTTTTACAACTCACATTGGAGTAAAACCCAGAGTTCACTGTGTGATCCAAAGACGTGAGTTTGAGACCTGTTTGAATCTCTTGCACAAAGTGAGTCCATGTTTTACTTTAACAGCGTTCAGGTTTTAGACACAGTGAGTTAATTTATCACAAATCTCTGTCTCACATTTAACTCTTAGATCCTCTCAGTAGTTCCACATATTGTGTCATCAACATAATTAATCTCTATTGTGTTGATGGCACCAAATGTAGCACCATAGCACCTAATTTACAAGGACCGAGCTTGACATCTAAGACTTAACTGGTCACTCAGTCTGGTCACTCTGCTGTGGCTCGCAGCGACCGAACAGTGGGACAAAACAAAAGCTAAACCGATTCACCAAATGGGCCGGCTGGTGATCCACTGACCTCTGCTGGTGATGCTCTCCTGGTTGACCTCACTCAGGTGGGCGACGCTGCCCTGGTTGGAGCCGGCTCCCATGCTCTCCCCGTCCATCGAGTTCCAACCAAACAGAGTCGCCTCAGAAATTGCAAACTGTTGCATGATACCTGAAGATGGAGATAAACAATGCATGTAGCAAGAATGAAAAAATCCCCCGACTCGCTAAAACATCATGAACATGAAGCAAATCCCAGTCCCTGCTCTGGTACCACATACACATGTTAATTAATGATACAAACAAATGTGATAACAACAGTCATTAATATGGATAAACAGCAGGTTTGTGTTGGATTGGAGGAGAATACTGAGGGTTTATTAGACTCATTTTCACCCTGTTTTTTCTCTGAAAGTGCTGCAGTCATCAATTACCAGCGACAGCTCAGCTAAATATTACCTAAAAATCTGATCAATGTTTCATTTTCTGAAACAACACAAGGTCGTCTAATAACATTTCAGACTTCGTTTTGTTTTAATAAATAGCTGCAATGTTCTGAAACTGACTGCCAAGTATTTGTTATAAGTTTAATAAATCTTTTGTATTCTGGCCATTAATCAGCATGAGATGAACAAATTTGTAGGATAGATTGATTGTGAATAAAATATGGACGCACAGTTATGGTCTCTGAAAAAATTAGGAAAAATTGGACAGGATGCAAGTTGGCTTCACTTTCCAGACTCTTTATATCCTGTTTACTGACTTTTTTTTTTAAACAATTTGCCATTTGTTATTTATGTTTACTAAAAAGTTTACCTTTAGTCTTATATACATAATGACAACCTGCTCATGCAACAGACAACCAAGAAGTCATCCAGTTGTTGAGCAACACGTTCAACCTCTGGTTGCGCGTCACAAGAGCAAGGTAATTGCAGAGGTTGCATGGCGGGAGGCAACCTGTCACCAGACAACGGTGGTCTGACTTGGACTCACTGCAGTTTCTTTCAGAAAGATTAGTGATGATTTGCAAACGCAGGCACTTCAGCAACTCAGTCTGCGCTGAGCAAAACTCATCTACGATGCAGCTTTTTGCAATATAGGACTCAACTCAGCTGTTTGTCCTCGTGGTTGTATTCTGGGTATATTTCTAACAAAAGCAAGATTTCTAAGCTCCTCCTTTCCTCACAGCAAGAAGGTCCCGAGTTCATTTCCACCATCAGGCTGGGTTTTCTGTGTGGAGTTTGCATGTTCACAGGTGTGAATGTGAGTGCGAATGATTGTCTGTCTCTATGTGTTAGCCCTGCGACAGCCTGGCAACCTGTCCAGGGTGTATCCTGCCTCTCGCCCTAAGTCACCTGGGATAGTCTCCAGCCCCCCCACGACCCTGAACAGGATAAATGGAAGAGAAGGGATGGATGCACTAATTAATCATTTTCAATATTATCATAAATAGATTGCAAGCTTGACTCCATTTAATCACAAACTGATAACATACTGATTGCGAGTAATCACAGAGCTGCTGTCCGTCTGTGGACCAACCATTTCAAAGTCGACAAGATTGCAAAATCATTGCACACAGTTTCCTCAATGCGACTGAAGCATTAGTGTAGCATGTTTGCAAATTCAGCACTCAGGTGTGTCCTCACCTGCAGCAAAACGAGCCTCCTTCTCGCCATCGCTAAGGTCACTGTAAGCGTCGTTCTCCATCCTCCTCTCCTTTTCCCTCTGAAGGTTGGTATGGCCCGCTCCCCCTAGCGGACCCGCAGATGGTTTGCCCCAGCTCTGCCACTCTATCATGTGGGCCACTCGACCCTGGGCCATGGCGGTGGGCTTGGTCACCTTGTCCTTCATGGAGCGAGTCACACCTACAGGAGGTATGAGGGTGGCAGGAGGGGCAGACCAGCAACACACACGTACAACACACACCACACACACACACACACACACACACACAAAAACTGTGTCAAAACTACTTCTGGCCCCTGCAGTTGACTACACCTCCATCTGAGGCTCATGTGGGGGTTGGGGTGGGGGTAGGAGTAGAATGATAATGAGAAATGTGAGGGTCTGTTTAATACCTGAGATGATGATAGGAAATGCTAGCTCAGTAAGCATGGATGAATTTGTGATTGAACGTGATTTTATGACAACAACATGGCACCTATTTAATTTCACTAATCTATAAAAACGCATTCAGTAGTATGCTAGGATCATCAGAATGAGCATGGATGTATTTGTGGGTGAACTGGTGTTTCATTATTTCCAAAGAAGCTCTGCTGACTGCAGTAATATTCAGTCCTTTGGACAGCTTCTAGTCACACCGGCCATGTTTCAGAAGCATTTAGTCTGCACGGGTCTTTTTGTTATTATAATAAGCCTTCCTCAAGAGGAACATGCTAATATTTATCTCTCTGTGGACCACATTAAACTCTGACCTTTAAACCACTGCTGCCTTTGATTTTCTGTGTGTGGACCTGAGGATATCAGCTGTCAGCAGTCAACTCGTTTTAAATGTGTCACCTCGGTTATTACCCCAGTACTAATCATCACAACGAGCGTGACAGTCACTCCTCGGCTTCTACAGTGAGACAAATTGTTTAAGATAATAATGATAAGTGCTGCGATAGTACAAGATGTTTGATTCAGTATGAGACTTTCTTTGTTTGGCATGTGAGTACTCCCCACGGAGACCCAGATGTGTACTCATACTGGTCAAAAAGTTGAGTGTAGACACTCAGTGTGGTAGAGAAACTTCTAGCAACCACTCACCAACCGTTCAGGTTATACACATTTTTCAACCTGTGGTTGCCATGGTGAAGGGATCAGCCAAAAGAAGAAGCAATCACTGACCAGTCTACAGGCCAGTGCAGCCAGGATCTAAGCAGAAGATTTGAACCAGAGCTGTGTGCCCTCACAGATCCTAAGACACTAATATTTTTTTTTCCATTTTTTTTTAATTTCTCTTTTGTAAAACTGAAACATGGCTCTTAAAAGCCATAACTCCACAAATACGTTGTAACTTGACTGATAATATGGAAGAAGCCAGCATATCAATGTGACACAAATTGAAAATATTTTAAAATTAATAATTGCAAGATGGTTTATTAGCTATTAGCCCTAGCATAAAAATAAATATACATTTTTCTATCATATAACTCTCTATCATCTTTATTCACTGCTGAATCTTCTTTTGTATGCACAGCAAACCATGCTTAATCTTTGGTCAGGTGATTGGCAGGAATGATGAGGTCAGAGGTCATCGTGGTTGCCCATGTGCTTGTTAAAGTTTGCTCATTTTAACAAAGAACAAAGGATGTCGAGTGAAATGCTGACGAACCCACATTAATAATTACAGGAATTGCTCATCTTCTTGTAAACAGAATGAATGAGGTTCATTAGAATTTACGTGATTAAAAATGTTTTACGGAGCCGAAGAGAGGCAGAAGAAATAGTCCCTCGGTGTAAACAGAACAGGGAGAAGTGTCCACCGGCAAATCTCTGTCCAATTAAGATGCAAATATAGGCTCCAAACTGGGGACATATTCACTGACTCAAATGGGTACGGAGACACTGATCGATTAAAAAATTAAATTAAAATCCAGCAGGCATGAATAAACAAAGAGCGAGCTTTGGAAATTGCTCCCCCGGTCCATGGGGCAAGTAACAGGCTGGGCTAAAAATAGAAACACTTTTCCTCTTAGACAAAGCGAGCCAATCTCATTTGAAAATCAAACAGTCCCTGCAGAGCCTAATTGGGGATGGAAATAGGTGGAAAGAATGGGGATGAAGGATGAGGGAGGGTGTTGGGGTCTTGGCTATTCAAAGGCTCAAAAATATAACACTATACACTGTTAAAAGATAGCTGCAGATGTATTTAAAGTGCACCAGACACAACAGAAAATACATTTTTTACATAAACACTCTGAGATGCTGCACTCAGACAACAAAGAGCACTACAGTTTGAAGCACAGAGCAAGAGAGAGCATGAAAGAGGCACCGGCCACTTGTAGTCACGACACTGCACAACAGAGTCACAAATATCGGGCCACACCACCAACACCACCACCAGCAGCAGCACTGCCACGGTACAAATACACTACATTTCCCAACACACCTGTGGAGATGCTTCAGTAAGTAATTAAAGTAAGTATTCTTACTTACTTTAGTTTCTTTGAAATAAAAGATCTGATTGAATTTCCATCAATGACTCTGAAATGTGTCCCGTCATTGACGTCTGCTGTTGATATCAGTGGAAGAGAGAGGAAAGTAGGGAGTGATATAGGAAGGGGCACCCACAGGGGCGGCCATGTTGGTTCCAAGCTCCTCCTCCTCCTTCGCCTGCTCTAGAGTGAAGTTGTTTGTTAAGTCAGAGTTTCATTTACAAAGTCCATTGCCGTTTATGGCAATTTGAAAAGATAATTAAACATGTTTTCTTCGAGGGTGTCAGATGATTCTTTGGCCTGCAAGCAGTGCAGAAACCAAGTGATGGAAGAAGCAGAGCGGAGATTTTATCAAGCAAACAGATCTCAGAGGCTGCCCTGGAGGTAAAAACATGTCCGTTTGTTATGTTAAACCAAGGTTCAACTTAACAAAGAGTATTTGACATGTAAGATGTGTAACTGTAAGTTCTGTGGTGTCAGTTTGTGAGGCTCTTGTGTTTTTTGTATTCGGTTTAATGAAAGCGCAACTTCTTCACCCTCAAGTCCTCCTAAACTCCTTTGTTCACAGGCTATCGAGGTGCCATGAAAAATGTTCCTTCTTCCCATTAAAGGTTAAAAACTACCTGATTTCCATTTGGCCCATATCCCTTTCAAGGTCTTCTCCGGGTGCATCTATGGACTGCTGCCAGCACTGCTAATAATTTTTAGAGATCTCCTTGAAAGTCCTGCTCTGACCACCCTCACAAGTGGTTCTTACCTTGGGGTTCTTTCTATAACATCCGAGGATATTTATCTTACAATATAAAGCACTTTACATGACTATTGTTGCTATATATGAAAAAATGAAAGTAAATTGAACTGAATTTTGGTTAAGATGGAAACACATCAGACACGTGGGGCAGGTTTTCATTACGTCAATGTAATGAAAACACTCCTTTCTGAACCATGAATGGGCAGGAAATGGGATGTACCACAGTTTTTGGTTGTTTGATGCTAATCGTCTTAGAACTTTTCAGGATAACTCTGATCCCGGTTGATGAGCACGCTTCTGTTTTTTCTAACTTGATGGACGATTTTTGAGGAGCTTGGACATCATGAGCTCATCTACTGATATTTGATGTTTGGACCCTTAACATGGAAGCCGGGTTGATGCTTGGTCTGTGTGTTTGAGGTCTGTGGTAAAACTGCAGATGCACACATGCAGACGGTCAGAGCGTGACTTCCATCAAGCAATCCCAAAATTAAGCTGTGCCGTTGACATGTTCACAGGGAGACGTCCTTAAAAGGAAGACTGACCAAATCTAAATGCGCTCAAATATTATAGTTATTTGGATTTTGGATAGTAAGCCAACTGTTCTTCTTTGGTGTTGGTGTTGTTTACAAAAAGCTTTAATAATCACAGGTTGATGGGGGCATCTGCTAACTACCACTGATGGTTCAGGAGGGGTTGTCTACACTGTATTAGGACGTAAGAAATTATTTACTGTTCAGAAGTTCTTTGATCAGTCAAACGACTCTTTTCACTGCATTTTTGCATTTGTTGTCAAATTGCATGGGCAGAGCTTTTCCAGATTTTATTTCCAGACTACTCTTTCTATTTTGTAGTTTATTATAACTGAAAGGTCAGCCTGCACCTTCTGTCTAAACCAGTGTGACTGCCACCGCTTTATCACCCTCTGAGAAAAGTTTGCAGAAGGGAAAAAAACCCCATTCTGCAAAGAGGAATGAATGGTTTGGTTGCCTTAAATAAAGGGCAACACAACGATTTAAAGTTAAGTCAAAGTAATTACCAATTAGAAGAGAAAAATGACAAGAGATTACACAGTCCATTTAGTCTCATTTATACTGGTGATTCCCATTAAACCAAACCACACACTGATCATTTGGCTGCTGCACTAATGTGTCACCAACCAATCATCTGAATAACACGCAAGAAGAAACCAAAAATTATCTTTTGCACAGCAGGGAAGGAGATGCAGCCCCTGCCAGAGCTCAACAACAACTTCACTCTTGATCCACCGTGGAGCATGTGGAGGCAACATGGGGGCTGTTTTACCATCTAGCAGCACAGACACACACCTGACACACCTGACAGAGAGGACTTAGCCAGGGCACCGATCCCATAGGTGTTGGTGGGCTTCCTCTTGAGACGAGGCAGAATGGAAGTAGTGTCCTCCATGGACAACTAAAGAGAGAGGAGAGGTAAATGTGGTATTGGTGCAGCACAGGGGTGGACAGAAGGAGGAGGAGAGATAATAGAACCAGAACAGGTGAGAGAGATAAATGCAAGAAAGGAAAAAAAAGGGAATAAAAGAAATTGAGGTGAAGAGGGCAGACGATACAAGACTCAGAAAACAGTCTGATGGAGTGAGAAAGAGAAGAGAGGTTGTAGCAGAGGAGATAAGATAGAAGGGTTAATTATTTGAGCACTTTGTAAATGGCTTACAGGGATCGTTGAAGAGAAGAGAATTATTGATATTCTGTGTCTCAAAGGAAAAATTAATGATAAAGTGTTGATTTAAAACCAAATTAAAAGGGTAGCAGTCTATTGTGAGCTCAGCAGCTATTATTTGACATAAAACCATCCTGAAAAATGTGATATTGAACAGATATTGAAGGCAGAGTGTTGTCGCATTACAAAGATTACCTGTAGCGCATTTTGCTGTGACTCCATTGTTGGATATTACTCACTGTCTCGTCTATCACCATGAATGTTACCAACCCAAATATGCTCAGCTGTTCTGCATTTTACCAGGAAAACGTTGGAGGCTTCTTGTGAATACATGAAGTCGTGAGACTGACACCAACAACCGCTCCTCAATTTACAAAATCAGGTCATACAATTAGTGTCAAACGCCACTCTGTTGGATATCAGATGCCGTATATGTCGTATCGTATCTACAGAAATCCTGAACACTGAGCAGTAACTTTTTTTCAGGTTTAAAACTCTGTGAGAGAGTGAGTTGCACGTTTTGTAAGCCGAGGAATGGTGGTTTGTGTTTTTTTGGGAGCTTTGCATTTTGCATTTGTTTTGTTTTCATAAACTTTATATCTACGCTTTCTGGGTGTAACCAGACCCGATCCTTACTTAACCTTTGGTTTTCTCAAGCTGCAACAGTGCTTGTGTTTTTTTTTCACTCAGCAAAGACTACATGTTAAAGATGGCGTCTAGCTCAGCTGCTACAATGGCACGCTCTCAAATCATTGGTTAAAGGTGTGGTAAGATTCAGCCAGGCACCGAGTGGTTCATGAGGGCCTGGAGCCCTGGGACCCTGATCTCTGCTCGCACCGGCCTCTCGCGGCTTCGACTGCCCTTTGCCTCCGGTCCTTTGGGAGTCCCACACCTTAGCCGTGAGCGCCCCACTTAAGGCCTCACTCCTTCTCCTGCTGGGATGGGCGTGCAGATTTCACCAGGATGTGTGGCCTTGGGTCTTCAGTATTCGTGGCTGCCGATGGCCCGGTTCTCCCGGATCCATCTCTGTCTTTCTCTGACTCCTTAGGGGCTGTTATTACGACTTCCCATCCTCATTTTTAAGTGCATTTCATCACAGAGACACACACTCTCTCTTTCACCCTCTCACACACACACACACACATTTTTTTTCTCTTGCCTGTCCTCCCTTAAACATCGTCATACTGTATACCAAATATAATAGAAATAACACGAATAGAAGTGATGAAATAAACAGATAAACCCTGAACAAGAGGAGCCTTGTACACAACAGTTCATTCAGCTCATTATTCTGCCCCACAGGACGGGATTTGTTTTTCCTCCTTTGTGCCGTATAGCCCACATTCACACTTACAAGCCGCATCTTAAGATTTCTCCAGTATTTAGTTCATAAAATAATGTGTAGAAATAATAATATGTTGATTTCAAGCTACGATCATTCAGTGTTTCTTTTGACATTTATTGACAGGAGAGTAGAGCACGCAGGGAAGCAAAGAGAGAGCGAACAGGAAAGAGCAGACTCAAACCGAGGCCCCTGCAGTAACCTTTTCATCTGTGGGTGTTCTTGACTCAACCCTCACGTATCTTTGTGTTCTGATATAAGAGGAAATCACATTGTTGGCGCTATATTTTTACGCTGATTTGAGATTTGTCTCAGGTATGTAAACTACAAGTTTATTTAATCAGGAAGTGAAATTATTTAGATTAGGAATCCTGAGCCATGATAGGCCGAATTAAACAGGCTTATTTGAAAAAACCCCCACAAGAACGGCAAAATTCACAGAGAAATCAGCTGTAGTATTGTTAACATCCAAAACATCCCCAAACCTTGTCACCACCGCCACTGTTATAGGAACTTTCTGCTGAACTGCCAATCAAAAGATGTGCAGACAACTCAGCTTAGCCAAGGGTGGATTGCTAAATTACAGGTACCAAGACCAGAACAATTGATATGGATAACTACCAGCACAAACAAAAGATGCATGTTTGGTTTTCGGAGTAAACGGTCCATTAAAGTGAGATGTTTTTGTCTTTTATGAATCAACCAGAAGGTCCCCAAAGGAGAATGATTTAAAGTGAAATTTCAAACATAAGTCAACAACAACATACTAATAATGAGAACCTAGATGCTGTTCCTTTCCTGTACACTTAAATAGCTGAATGTTGAACAGTTTTCAAAGCTATAGTTATTCCATAAAAACACTCATGTGTACAGTAAACTTGTGTTACTTCCCGGCAGCAGTGCTCCTGGCAAACAAAGCCAAAAATTAATGAACTCAGAGACTGAGCCCGGCTCTTAATGAGGCCCTCCCAGCGGCTAATTACAGTAAGAAATAATAGGGAAGCACATGGACTCTGTTACACGGGAGGATTTTGTGAGAGATATGATGTAATATTTTGAGTCAAGGTGTATGACTCACAATAAAAAGGCAAACTGATATGATCTGGTCCCTCTGTGGTGTGCAAGTGGAGCATCATCCACACGCTCCTACTTTAAACTGCCTGCATGCACCAGTAACATTATATGGTGTTGTTGCTGGGCAGCCAGAGAGTCAACAGGCATACAGATGAAACTATTACAGCAATCTTCTTCCATTAGTCGTGTATCTGCTCGACTCTGTTTCTCCTCAAATATAATAAACCACAGGTGGACGTCTATTTTGCAACTAAAACCATTGTTCTCCATTAAAATCCTCCTCCAGTCCTTCCAGCAAAGCACAGCCATAGCTAAACCAATATGGCAGAGAAGTGTTTTAATGTGCATTAATCAGCATTTGGTTTTATTTGTAAGGTTAAAAGGGTCACATATTCATATTCATATGCTACATAACTTTGCCGCCCCCTTTCGCTTATGGTTTTTCATTCACTGCATTGTTCAGGCTCACAGCAGGCAACCTCAGCTGCTCTCTACTGCTTTGATTAAACCACTGTAATCACTCCACTCTGTACTGCCAAACAACAGATTGGAGCTGATGGAATATTGAAGAGTGTATGGAGCCAGGATAGGAGCTTAAAGGATCCCGAACTTTAAGATGTATGAACTGACGTTCTTTGCTAACAGCAGAAACAACTTTCTAAAGCAGTAATATGCAAAAGACCCTAGTCTCATTAGCCTGTTTCATGAGCTCTTAATATGCCTTCATATGATCTTAAAATCACTCTACACTAACATTCAGAATGTGGCTATTAATATACCATAAACCAGAACAGAGTTGTGTTACAAGAATAGCAAAACAAACACAAACTTTCGTCTTTTTGGAGAGTTTTAAAATGTAATTAAAACAAAATGTACTCTGAAGTAGCTGAATAATGTTTCCCAATTTCCAAATAGCTGAACATTGAAGCTTTCATGCAATGGTGTGTACTCCCTTCATCCTTATTGGTGAAGCTGACAGATGAGAATGTGTGACAGATGTGTTCCTTAGACCTGAGATTATGATGCATTTTTCCCTCATCAGTTTGGCAGCACTGGTGTTTTCCTACTGTATTTAGTTTGTGTTCTTCTTTAAAGGGAGTAGTACACTCCAGTCACCCAGTTCTTAAAAGAAATATAGTCGAGTTTCAGTATAAAGCTCCTTTGCTCTCAGCTAAACAGATTAATTGGTTTTCGCTCTGCAAAGTTGTCTTCATGTATGCAAGTATGATCCGTTAGCATTCTCCCAATAAACTCAAGTGAAGTAACACAATGTGCCACTGGGACTCAGGATGTTGGGTTCTGAAAATATGTATGCCTACATATATACACTGTAAAAAAAATTGTAATATAAAAGTATTTACTGTGTATTTTACAGTTTTGTACTGTTCTTCTACAGTATCATTAAATGTACATAAATAGACTGATTTTACATTTCAAATGTAAATTAATGTAAAATCACTGTAAATGTAATAAAACATAATTTCCTTGTTTTTTAAATGTATTTGTCTGTACATGTGCATATTTAGATTGTTAAAATACACACATGTATCATAATTTCACAGATATTTGTCCGTTATTTGAAAGATTGAACTGTTAAATTCAAATGTAATGCTATGGAAAAATATATATATAAATGATTCGTATAAACTTTTTTTTAAATCAAATAATAATAATTATTATTATTGTTATTTAGGGCGATCGTGGCTCAAGAGTTGGCAGTTCGCCTTGTAATCAGAAAGCTGCCGGTTCAAGCCCCGGCTCGGACACTCTCGGTCCGTGTGTCCTTGGGCAAGACACTTCACCTAAAGTGCTTTGAGGCTCTCAAAAAGCGTGATATGAATGCAATCCATTATTATTTAAACCAACTGTTAACTGTATATTTCTGTACATTTAAGTATTATTATTCATATTGCCGCATTCATTGACCTTGTTTATAGGTAATTTCATTGTTTAATCACATTAAAATGTTCCTAATTTAATGTTT